TTTTATTTTATTTTATTTTCTACCATCTAACATTTCCTTAACTTGAAAGAACCATTGCCACAGTTCTTATCACAGTTTACTTTTCAGTTCTTATTAGCAACTTTTAATTACAGTCCAGGAAGCAGGTAGTTAGTCATGGCAGGCCTTGGTCTTTTACTGGTGCTTCCAAAATTATTAACTCCATCCATACATCTTTCCATTCGTTCCCACACATCATTATATCAAATCATAGAATCATAGAATCCAAGAGTTGGAAGAGACCTCCTGGGCCATCCAGTCCAACCCCATTCTGCCAAGAAGCAGGAATATTGCATTCAAATCACCCCTGACAGATGGCCATCCAGCCTCTGTTTAAAAGCTTCCAAAGAAGGAGCCTCCACCACACTCCGGGGCAGAGAGTTCCACTGCTGAACAGCTCTCACAGTCAGAAAGTTCTTCCTCATGTTCAGATGGAATCTCCTTTTGCAGATTTGATAAATCCACATTTATCAAATCTGCAATTAAATTTCTTGTGACACACGCACATAGAAGCAAATCCACCAAATTATTGTGATATTATAGGGTGGGATCCAACCCTATACGCTCACCCCATTTGTCTCCAGCAAGGACCGGGCATCCAGCATGGAGCGTGTCGTCGTCCCCGTCTCCGTTCCTATGGAGGTTCCACCAAAACAGAGCTGCGTTCTGCAAAACAAAACAAATAAACAAACTGAAGTCAGATGTGAAGAACATGGAGGCATGCATATTCAAGAGCATGGGAGAGCATAGGCACAAAACAATAATGATCGGTTGTGGGCCCAGATTGCATTGCAACACAAGGACTCTACTGGAGTTTCCTCAGGAGGTTTTGAAGCAGAGGCTGGATGGCCATCTGTCGGGAGGGCTTTGACTGTGCCTTCCTGCCTGGCAGAAGGGGGTTGGACTGGATGGCCTTTGGGAGTCCCTTCCAACTTTAAGAACGTATGATTCTATGTATGCCTCAACATCTAGGACTATGGACTGATGTTGTTATTATTCCCTGCTATTATTCAAGGTGACTTCGATTTCTCCAAAATTTGGACTCGCATTTGCAATTCTTTCAGTTGCTTCGTCCTGAAAGAAATGCAAGAGCTTTGCTTCCCATTTCTATACATTCAGTAACACAAACCTTCCAACGATTTCAATAATGCATCAAAACTATTCCGCCTCTTAAATCATACTTGGCTTATGATATAACTGTACTTTAGTTTGCATGGGATATATATATTACACACACACCCATGCAAAAAAATTATTATTTAGCATACAACTGTACTTTTTTGCAAATATATACATACACACACACACACACACCCCATACAAAATAATTATTATTTTAAATATAACTATACTTTTCTTTGCATACACACACACACACACACACACATATACACATACACACACACACAAACCCCATGCAAATAAATTATTATTTAGCATACAACTGTACTTTTTTTGCAGTATATATATATACACACACAAACACACACCCCATCAAAAAAAATATTATTTTGCATATAACTATACTTTTCTTTGCATGGGATATATATATATATATATATATATACACACACACACACACACACACACACACACACACACACACATATATATATATATATATATGAGAGATCTTCTAGCTCCTAGGCCTCTTGTTTACAAGTTCTATTTCATCTCTCTCATTTGTCCCCAAAAAAACATTATTATTAGCATACAAAATATCATTTGTTTTGCATGGTGTATTATAAACCACAACACTAGCAAAAGTTTTATTATTTAGCATACAACTGTACTTTTTTGCATGGTATATTTATTTATTTTATTACTTTATTTACAGCATACACACACACACACACACACACACACACCACTTCGCAAGCAGCTGAAAAGGTAGGTGAAAAATAAGTAATGTACAGGATTATTATGGCTGAAATATATATACAATATATTCTGGCGTATAAGACTACTTTTTAACCCAAGAAAATCTTCTCAAAAGTCAGGGGTCGTCTTATACGGGTGTAGTCTTATGCATGGGAGTCGTCTTAACTCTATATTTTAACTGGAAAAGTTGGGGGTCGTCTTATACGCCCAGTCGTCTTATATGCCGGAATATACGGTAGTTATTTATGACATTTTTGTGCTGCCCTTTGTGTGTATACAAACTATGCAAAAAGTACAGATGTATGCTAAATAATAAATCTTTTTGCATGGTGTGTGTGTGTGTGTATACACACACACACACACACACAAATACATATATACATACATACACCATGCAAAAAAGTTGTATGCAAAATAATAAATAAATTGATGGGTGAGATATGCATAAGGCACACTTTCCATCAAACCACTTGCACAGCTTATACTACACCAGGCCTGGGCAAACATGGGCCATCCAGGCAAAAAAAAAAAAAAGTACAGTTGCATGCAAAATAATATATTTTTTGCATAGGGTATAGGGTGTATGTGTGTGTGTGTGTGTGTCCCATGCAAAAAAAGTACAGTTGTATTCAAAATATTTCTTTTTGCATGGGGTTGGGGTGTATGTGTGTGTGTGTATATATATATATATATATATATATATATATATATATATATATATATAGGCTGTACCCACCATGCATTGCTGGGGCCAACCTTATATATAATATAATAATATATTTTTGCATAGGGTGTATATATATATATATATATATATATATATATGCATGCATGGGGTGTGTGTGTATATGTGTGTGTGTGTGTGTGTGTATATAATGCAAAAAGTAAGTAGATGCATGCAAAATAATATATTTTTGCATAGGGTATATATATATGTGTGTGTTTGTATATACACACATACACACAGTTGTGTATGTGTGTGTGTGTGTGTATATATATATATATATATATATATCTCCCATGCAAAAAAAGTAGTTGTATTCAAAATAATATTATTATTTTTTTGCATGGGGGGTGTATGTGTGTGTGTGTGTATATATATATAATGCAAAAAGAAAGTAGTTGCATGCAAAATAATATATTTTTTGCATAGGATAGATATGTGTGTGTGTATATATATATATATAATGCAAAAAGAAAGTAGTTGCATGCAAAATAATATATTTTTTGCATAGGATAGATATGTGTGTGTATATATATATATATAATGCAAAAAGAAAGTAGTTGCATGCAAAATAATATATTTTTTGCATAGGATAGATATTTGTGTGTGTATATATATATATATAATGCAAAAAGAAAGTAGTTGCATGCAAAATAATATATTTTTTGCATAGGATAGATATGTGTGTGTGTATATATATATATATATAATGCAAAAAGAAAGTAGTTGCATGCAAAATAATATATTTTTTGCATAGGATAGATATGTGTGTGTGTGTATATATATAATGCAAAAAGAAAGTAGTTGCATGCAAAATAATATATTTTTTGCATAGGATAGATATGTGTGTGTGTGTATATATATATATATAATGCAAAAAGAAAGTAGTTGCATGCAAAATAATATATTTTTTGCATAGGATAGATATGTGTGTGTGTGTGTGTGTGTGTGTGTATATAATGCAAAAAGAAAGTAGTTGCATGCAAAATAATATATTTTTTGCATAGGATAGATATGTGTGTGTGTGTATATATATATATATATAATGCAAAAAGAAAGTAGTTGCATGCAAAATAATATATTTTTTGCATAGGATAGATATGTGTGTGTGTGTATATATATAATGCAAAAAGAAAGTAGTTGCATGCAAAATAATATATTTTTGCATAGGATAGATATGTGTGTGTGTGTGTGTGTGTTATATATAATGCAAAAAGAAAGTAGTTGCATGCAAAATAATATATTTTTTGCATAGGATAGATATGTGTGTGTGTGTGTGTGTGTGTGTATATAATGCAAAAAGAAAGTAGTTGCATGCAAAATAATATATTTTTTGCATAGGATAGATATGTGTGTGTGTGTGTGTGTATATAATGCAAAAAGAAAGTAGTTGCATGCAAAATAATATATTTTTTGCATAGGATAGATATGTGTGTGTGTGTATATATATATATATATAATGCAAAAAGAAAGTAGTTGCATGCAAAATAATATATTTTTTGCATAGGATATATATATGTGTGTGTGTGTGTGTGTGTATATGTGTATGTATGTGTGTGTGTGTGTGTGTGTGTGTGTGTGTGTGTGTATATGTATGGTGTGTGTGTGTGTGCACCTGGCTGGGTCGGAGCAGTATTCATCTCTGAGTGAATGCACTTTGGCACCCCCATTCCCAGCCATAGCACAATGCAACACTTTGCAAATAGAAATGCACATTGGTCAGACCTCATTTGCATGGAGCAATAGCCCAAAGCCATTCCAGAAGGAGATGGGGCTCCAAGCTGGAAGGAGTCCAGAGAAGGGCAAGGAGGTGCTTTCCCTGGGGTCCGCCCACTGCTGGCAGCCAATTAGAACAAAAGGAGAAACTTTGAACTGATTGGCTGCTGCTCCCTCCCAAAAAGAGAGGACAACCCCCCACCCAAAAGACCAAGCTGGGTCACACAAAGGGAGGCTCTGCAACAGGAAGGGCAGGTGAGTTGTAAGTTGAGTTTTCCCCAAATTTCTAGCATTGAGAAATGCTGGAAGGGACCCCCAGAGGCCATCCAGTCCAACCTCATTTTGCCACGCCCTCCCAACAGATGGCCATCCAGCTTTTGTTTTGTTTCTCCTGCCATTGGAAGCCATTGCTCTACTACTGTGTCCTGGTCTCTGGAGCAGCAGGAGACAAGGTTGACTCCTCCTTCATGTGCCATGATGTGCTCCACTGTTTAAACATGTATTTATTTATTTAGAGCCTGGGGATCGGGACCCCTGGGGGGTCACCAAAGACCACTGGAAAACACAGTATATTTGGTTGGTCATGGGGGTTCTTTGTGGAAAGTTTGGCCCAATTCTATCCTTGGTGGAGTTCAGAATGCTCTTTGATTGTAGGTGAACTATAAATCCCAGCAACTACAACTCCCAAAGGTTAAGGTTTATTTTCCCCAAACTCCACCAGTGTTCACATTTGGTCACATTGAGTATCCGTGCCAAGTTTAGTCCAGATCCATCATTGGTTGTGTCCACAGTATTCTCTGGATGTAGGTGAACTACAATTCCAAAACTCAAGGTCAATGCCCACTAAACCCTTCCAATACTTTCTGTTGGTCATCGGAGTCCTTTGTGCAAAGTTTGGTTCAATGCCATCGTTGGTGCACTTCAGAATGCTCTTTGATTGTAGGCGAACTATAAATCCCAGCAAGTACAACTCCCAAATGTCAAGGTCTATTTTCCACAAACTCAACCAGTGTTCACATTTGGGCATATTGAGTATCAGTGCCAAGATTGGTCCAGATCCATAATTGGTTGTGTCCGCGGTATTCTCCCAAACTCAAGGTCAATGCCCACCAAACCCTCCTAGTGTTTTCTCAAGGTCAATGTCCACCAAACGCTTCCAATACTTTCTGTTAGTCATGGGAGTCCTGTTTGCCAAGTTTGGTTCAATTCCATCGTTGGTGAAGTTCAGAATGCTCTTGGATTGTAGGTGAACTATAAATCCCAGCAACTACAATTCCCAAATGTCAAGGTCTATTTTCCCCAAACTCGACCAGTGTTCACATTTGGGCATATGGAGTATATGTGCCAAGCATGCTCCAGATCCATCGTTGTTTGAGTCCACAGTTCTCTCTGGATGTAGGTGAACTACAATTCAAAAACTCAAGGTCAAAGCCCACCAAACCCTTCCAGTATTTTCTATTGGCCATGGAGTTCTGTGTACCAAGTTTGGTTCAATTCCATCATTGGTGGAGTTCAGAATGGTCTTTGATTGTAGGTGAACTATAAATCCCAGCAACTACAACTCCAAAATGTCAAGGTCTTTTTTCCCCAAACTCCACCAGTGTTCACATTTGGGCATATTGAGTATCAGTGCCAAGTTTGGTCCAGATCCATAGTTGTTTCAGTCCACAGTTCTCTCTGGATGTAGGTAAACTACAATTCCAAAACTCAAGGTCAATGCCCACCAAACCCTTGTAGTGTTTTCTGTTAGACAACTACAACTCCCAAATGTCAAGGTCTATTTTCCCCAAACTCAACCAGTGTTCACATTTGGGCATATTGAGTATCAGTGCCAAGTTTGGTCCAGATCCATCGTTTGAGTCCACAGTTCTCTCTGGATGTCGGTGAACTACAACTCCAAAACTCAAGGTCAATGCCCACCAAACCCTTCCAATACTATCTGTTAGTCATGGGAGTCCTGTTTGCCAAGTTTGGTTCAATTCCATCGTTGGTGGAGTTCAGAATGCTCTTGGATTGTAGGTGAACTATAAATCCCAGCAACTACAATTCCCAAATGTCAAGGTCTATTTTCCCCAAACTCGACCAGTGTTCACATTTGGGCATATGGAGTATATGTGCCAAGCTTGCTCCAGATCCATCGTTGTTTGAGTCCACAGTTCTCTCTGGATGTAGGTGAACTACAATTCGAAAACTCAAGGTCAATGCCCACCAAATCCTTCCAGTATTTTCTACTGGCCATGGAGTTCTGTGTACCAGGTTTGGTTCAATTCCATCATTGGTGGAGTTCAGAATGGTCTTTGATTGTAGGTGAACTATAAATCCCAGCAACTACAACTCCAAAATGTCAAGGTCTATTTTTCCCAAACTCCACCAGTGTTCACATTTGGGCATATGGAGTGTTCACATTTCAGCACATTAGGTATTTGTGCCAAGTTTGGTCCAGATCCAACATTGTTTGAGTCCACAGTGCTCTCTGGATGCAGGTGAACTACAACTCCAAAACTCAAGGTCAATGCCCATCAAACCCTTCCAATACTTTCTGTTGGTCATGGGAGTTCTGTGTGCCAATTCCATCGTTGGTGGAGTTCAGAATGCACTCTGATTGAAGGTGAACTATAAATCCCAGCAACTACAATTCCCAAATGACAAAATCAACCCCACTAGTGTTATAATGGTCTTAACTATTTATCTCTAACAGCTCTGCATCTAATTCTGTTTTTGTGTTTATATGTTGTAGTTTGCACACTGTATTGTTTTTAACATTGTTAGATGTTTTGAGTTTCCTTTAAGAGAGGAAAACAACAACAATAACAACAACATATTGTCGAAGGCTTTCATGGCTGGAATCACTAGGTTCTTGTGAGTTTTTTCGGGCTGTATGGCCATGTTCACGAGGCATTTTCTCCTGACGTTTCGCCTGCATCTATGGCAAGCATCCTCAGAGGTAGTGAGACCTGAGGATGCTTACCATAGATGCAGGCAAAACGTCAGGAGAAAATGCCTCTAGAACATGGCCATACAGCCCGAAAAAACTCACAAGAACCTAATAACAACAACAACGTTCTTAAAGTGGTTTGAGAGCTCTCTTATTTGGTTCCTTTCATTGATTTGTCCCATAGTATAGGTGAATGCAGCCATGCTGGCCAAGAAGGCAACTACTCAGTGTAGGAGCACCAGGCTCCAAGCCCAGAGACAAGATACAGCACACCCCAAAAAGCCGCACGGGAAAAGCCGCACGGCACCTAGAAGCCAAACACAGCCCACCAAGGTGAGCCAAGTGGTCAAATTACCACCAGCCCTGGAGAAGGACAGAAGGGTGATCCTAGCCATCATGAAAGCCTGGGCAACAAGGGAAGGCAGCCTGAAGAGGCATCGGCCGGTGGTGGGAGACATCTCGTTGAAGAGTGACAGCCATGAGTCAAAAAAGAGAATGAAGAGCATCGAAAACGAAGAAAGGAGCCAGGAGGAGGACAGCACGAGAATCCTGGGTGAGTTGTCAACGTGCTTTAACCGTTGGCTCTTTTAGCTGCCGTATCTCACTATTGGCTCAAGTCCAGCTTGAGGTCTCCTAAAGCTCCCTAGATCTTTCTCATACGGACTGTTTTCAAGTCAGGTGTTGCCCATCTCATATTTGTGGATTTCACATCTTCTGCCTAAGTGTTTACATCCTCACCAGAGGACAGAGTATTAGCTTTCTCTCCCAATGTGTTGTTGTTTATTTGTTCAGTCTCTTCCGCCTCTTGGTGACCTGGACCATCCCAGGCCAGACCTCCCTGTTGGCCCTGGCCACCCCCAGCTCCTTCAGAGTCAATCACTTCAGGGATATAATCTATATATATAAATTTGTTAGGGGCATCCAACGGAGAAACAAAACTCAAAAACCCCCCAACGAAACTTAACCAAAATTCCCATGCCCATAACACAACCCACAAGGTACAAACATATCTACTCAAAATGAAAAACAACACAACAACACACTCACAAAACGGCAAAACAACAAAACTCAAAAACCCCCAACGAAACTTAACCAAAATTCCCTGTGCCCATAACACAACCCACAAGGTACAAACATATCTACTCAAAATGAAAAACAACACAACAACACACTCACAAAACGGCAAAACAACAAAACTCAAAAATCCCCCAACGAAACTTAACCAAAATCCCATGCCCATAACACAACCCACAAGGTACAAACATATCTACTCAAAATGAAAAACAACACAACAACACACTCACAAAATGGCAAAACAACTGAGCATGCGCATTGGCGCCCAGCCGCAAGTTCCCTGGGCGCGCACACAGCCTTCCGGCCAACGTTCCCTCTGCGGAAGCCATGCCCACTCCAAGCCCCGCCGCGCCGCTTCCCGCACACACACACACCCTGCCGCACACACACACCAACCCCACGCTCCATCACTCCCCCCCTGCCGCCACACACACACGCAACCCCACTCCCCCCGCCGCCGCACACACACACGCAACCCCACTCCCCCCGCCGCCGCACACACACACACGCAACCCCACTCCCCCCGCTGCCGCACACACACACGCAACCCCACTCCCCCCGCCGCCACACACACACACGCAACCCCACGCTCCATCACTCCCCCCCCCGCCGCACACACACACGCAACCCCACTCCCCCCGCCGCCGCACACACACACACGCAACCCCACGCTCCATCACTCCCCCCGCCCCACACTCCATCACTCCCCCCGCCGCTGCACACACACACGCAACCCCACTCCCCCCGCCGCCGCACACACACACCCAACCCCACGCTCCATCACTCCCCCCGCCGCCGCACACACACACGCAACCCCACGCTCCATCACTCCCCTGCCCCAATCTTACCTCCTTTTACTTCACGCCACCTCCAAACCCCACCCTGCCCCTTCCCGCCCTGTCAAAATCTAGGAAAGACAGGAAGGAAGGAAAGAAGGAAGAAAGAGAAAGGGAGGTAAAGAAAAAGGGGGAAGGAAAGTTAGAGAAAGAAGAAAAGGAAAGAAAAGGAAAGATGGAAGGAAAGAAAGAGAGACAGCAGAAAAGAAAGAAAAAGGGGGAAGGAAGGAAAGAGATAGAGAAAGAAGGAAGAGAGGGAAAGATGGGAGAAGGAAGGAAGGAAGGAGGGAAAGAAGGAGAGAAAGAGGGAAGGTTGGCCACAGCAACACGTGGCGGGTAAAGGTTGTTATTTCTATGATTATTATGATGCTATTATTCTTCCTATGAGACCCTTTTAGGGGGAATGGGAGAGGTGTCAGGTCCCAGAGGCAATGCATTGCATTATTGTTATTGTTATGATGGTGGTGAAATAAAAGGAAATAAAAAGTGAAAGAAGGAAGCAAACAGGGAGGGAAGAAAGGCAAAGGAAGAAAGGGGGAGGGAATAAAGGAAAGAGAGAAGGATGAAACCAAGTAGTGAAAGAAGGAAAGAAAGAAAGAGGTAGAGAAGGAAGAAAGGAGAGAAAGGGGGGGGAAAAGGGGGAAGGAATAGGTAGGTACCTCTCTTTCATAATAGTCCAGATATCTACCTCTACTTTGAAAACTCTTACTATAGGCCACAGCAACGCGTGGCAGGGCACAGCTAGTAATAATAAGAAGAAGAATAAGAAAGCTCCAGGGCTTTCTAGATGACATCAATTACCTAGATCAGTCACAGTCTGGTTTCAGGCCTGGTCACGGCACCGAGACAGCCTTGGTCGCCTTGGTGGATGACCTCCGTAGAGAGCTGGACAGGGGGAGTGTGACTCTGTTGGTTCTCTTGGACATCTCAGCGGCTTTCGATACCATCGATCATGGTATCCTTCTGGGTCGACTCTCTGGGATGGGTCTCGGGGGCACGGTTTTGTCGTGGCTCCAGTCCTTCCTGGAGGGTCGATCCCAGATGGTGAAGCTGGGAGATGCCTGCTCGGAACCCCTGGCCTTTGACCTGTGGGGTCCCGCAAGGCTCTATTCTGTCTCCCATGCTTTTTAACATCTATATGAAACCGCTGGGAGAGGTCATCCGGAGTTTTGGAGTTGGGTGCCATCTCTATGCAGATGACACGCAACTCTACTACTCTTTTCCACCGAATTCCAAGGAGGCCTCTCGGGTGCTGGACGAGTGCCTGGCCGCTGTGTCTATCTGGATGAGGAGGAACAAGCTGAAGATCAATCCCGACAAGACAGAGGTCCTCCTGGTCGATCGCAAACCTGACCGGGGTATAGAGTGGCAACCTGTGTTGGACGGGGTTACACTCCCCCTGAAGCCACAGGTCCGCAGTTTGGGAGTCCTCCTGGATTCATCGCTCACGCTTGAGGCTCAGGCGTCGGCGGTGTCCGGGAGGGCTTTTGCACAATTGAGACTCGTGCGCCAACTGCGACCGTACCTCGCGAAGGCTGATCTGGCCGGGGTGGTCCATGCCTTGGTCACCTCTAGATTGGACTACTGTAATGCGCTCTACGTGGGCTGCCCTTGAAAACGGCTCGGAAATTCCAACTGGTCCAACGGGCAGCAGCCAGGATGTTAACTGGGGCTTCTTACAGAGAGAGGTCAACCCTCCTGTTTAAGGAGCTCCACTGGCTGCCGTTTATCTTCCGAGCCCAATTTAAGGTGCAGGTGCTTACCTACAAAGCCCTGAACGGTTTGGGACCACCCTACCTGCGTGACCGCATCTCCGTCTACGAACCCACACGCTCTCTTCGGTCATCTGGAGAGGCCCTGCTCGTGATCCCGCCTGCGTCACAAGCGCGTTTGGTGGGGACACGAGACAGGGCCTTTTCCGTGGTGGCCCCCCGACTCTGGAACGCCCTCCCAAAAGATCTCAGACAGGCCCCTACATTGGCAATCTTCAGAAGGAATTTGAAGACCTGGCTATTCCGATGTGCCTTCTCAGATTAGGAACCTCCAATACCAAGTCCTTGAAGCACTTTATTAGAATTAATATTGCCGCACTCTGCACACTGCACTTACTTATAATCCTGCATACCTCCTGCCACATCAGCACTTTTAATCTTGTACCCATTACTCTGGCCCGGCCCAGTTTTATAATGTCTTGATGTATTGTTTATTGCTTGTTGTTTAATATTGCTTGGCCCAGTTTTATAGTGTCTTGATGTATTGTTTTTATTGTTGTTGTTCATACTGCTTAACTGTTTTTATTTTGCTTTAGGTATTGTATTGTTATATTGTGTTTGAGGCCTTGGCCGATGTAAGCTGCATTGAGTCCTTCGGAAGATGCTAGCGGGGTACAAATAAAGTAATAATAATAATAATAATAAACGTTTATTTATACCCCGCTACCATCTCCCGCGGGACTCGGTGCGGCTTACAAGAGGCCGAACCCAATACAGACAATACATAAACTCATAAACCAAGCAATAAACAGTAATAATAACACCATGACGCATTAAAAACCTGTGGCACGGCCAAATGTAGTAGTTATTACATTTATTATTACATTTATTATTTTGCTCTATTATTACTGTTGTTATTGCATTTCCATTATTTTACTATTATTATTATTATTATTATTATTATTATTATTATTATTATTACATTAATTATTTTACTCTCTTTATTATTGTTGGAAGGATACGTACATACATTTACATTGAAGAAGGTTAGAATAATGGTTTAATCAGAGTTGGGCAGTCTTATCTCAAATTACAATGTTATGTAAATATTCAAAAACATTTCACCTCCTGGTGCCTCAGTTAATGTAATGTTATTGGTATTTATTTTTATTTTGAAATTTACCCGTAGCGGCTGCATTTCCCACCCTCGTCTTATACTCGAGTCAATATGTTTTCCCAGTTTTTTGTGGTAAAATTAGGTGCCTCGGCTTATATTCGGGTCAACTTATACGCGAGTATATACGGTACTTTGAAGAATTAGGTAAATCCAATTAGGTAAGAAGATAAGTAGGAGCACAGTAATCCAGGGTAATAGTCCAGCAAAGTCCATAAAAACAAAGACAAAACTTCTCTAATAAAATCCAGTAAACCAGGAAACATGAATCCAAGGCATGAATATAAAAGCATAGAATCCAAGAATCAAAACTCATGCAACAAAAGCCACTTAAACATGAATCTTCCAAGCGAAGCTTCCATGAAACAAGAACGAGATCTTGACTTGATTCCAAACGATGCTTCATCTGACTACATATCCTGTACTTGGGACTTTTATCTCCTCATTAAGCTATGTCCCAAGCGCTCAGAAATTGGTTTCGCTTTAGCTTAGAATCTCTTATCTTTTTCTCTCTGAGCCTGGCAGAACGCCGAAGCCACTGTTCGACTCTTCTGTTTTGACTGATCTCGTCTATCTATCTGCTCATTAATTTCTGCAGCTGGGCCAGGTGCCGAGCTGTTTTCAAGCCCCAAATCCTGGGAACTCTCTGGTAGCAATTCAGGGAGTAAACCATCATCCCCACACCCTTCAGGGACATTCTCATGGGAAACTACACTTTGAACAGGGATCTCCTTGGTCATTCTCTGCATCAATATCATTGACCAAACCATTGCCATCTTGAAACTCCTTGACATCATTCCCCACATCTAAAGCACTCTGAAACTGAAACACAATCACAGGCTGAGCTCCAACACCCTAGATCCCTTTCATAGGGATTGTTTCCAAGCCAGGTGTCAGTCACCCATCCCATATTTATGGTTTTCACGTCATTTGCCTAAGGGTTGAGAGCAGGCCGGGGCAAACTTGGGTCCCCCTTGGACTGGATGGCCCACGGGGTCTCATCCAACTCTAGGATTCTATGATTGTGGAAGCTGAAGCCCAAAACATCTGGAGGATCAAAGGTTGGGAACCACTGATAGAGACTGGGTACACCAGAGCACCAATGGGACTCAACTATTGACACCTTATCGCTGGTTATGGTGGACTTCCACATTATATGATGGATGAGGCCTTCAGGGTTTGTTATGATAAGAGTTAACTTCACACTCACACAGCCTCAGCGTGCTCCAGCAGCTTTCTTCCTGCTCAGCATTTTTCAGCCTTCTGCTTCCAAAGTAGACACTTGAGCACATGCCCAGCCATTATCAGTTTTTACTATTGTCTTTCCCCCAGTCTAGATGGTATTACAAACTCACCATAGTATGCAGTATCTTGTCCAAGAAGAATACCATCACAACAGCACAACAGCACAACAGCACAACAGCAAGGGGGGGATATACATTGTACATGGTTTCCTTATATACAATACATTTACAATACATTTACACATAGTAATCCTTGATCAAGAGAAGGTGGCGAGACTATACAGAAGATCTGTATAGGAAGGATAATAATATTGAGGATAGTTTTGACGGTGTGGTGAATGAATTAGAACCGGACATCCTGAGGAGTGAGGTTGAATGGGCCTTAAGAAGCATTGCTAACAACAAGGCAGCAGGAGACGACGGGATCCCAGCTGAACTGTTTAAAATCTTGAAAGATGATGCTGTCAAGGTGATGCATGCCATTTGCCAGCAAATATGGAAAACACAAGAATGGCCATCAGACTGGAAAAAATCAACTTATATCCCCATACCAAAAAAGGGAAATGCGAAAGACTGCTCAAACTTCCGTACAGTGGCCCTTATTTCCCATGCCAGTAAGGTAATGCTCAAGATCCTGCAAGGAAGACTCCAGCAATACATGGAGCGAGAGTTGCCAGATGTTCAAGCTGGGTTTAGAAAAGGCAGAGGAACGAGAGACCAGATTGCCAACATCCGCTGGATAATGGAGAAAGGCAGGGAGTTTCAGAAAAACATCTACTTCTGCTTCATTGACTATTCTAAAGCCTTTGACTGTGTGGATCATAATAAATTGTGGCAAGTTCTTAGTGGGATGGACATCCCAAGCCACCTTGTCTCTCTCCTGAGGAATCTGTACAAGGACCAAGTAGCAACAGTCAGAACTGACCATGGAAAAACAGACTGGTTCAAGATTGGGAAAGGCGTACGGCAAGGCTGCATCCTCTCACCCAACCTTTTTAACTTTGTATGCAGAACACATCATGCGATGTGTGGGGCTGGATGAATGCAAAGCTGGGGTGAAAATTGCTGGAAGAAACATTAACAACCTCAGATATGCAGATGACACCACTCTGATGGCCGAAAGCGAGGAGGAGCTGAGGAGCCTTCTAATCAAGGTGAAAGAAGAAAGCGCAAAAGCCGGGTTGCAGCTAAACGTCAAAAAAACCAAGATTATGGCAACAAGAATGATTGACAACTGGAAAATAGAGGGAGAAACCGTGGAGGCCGTGACAGACTTTGTATTTCTAGGTGCAAAGATTACTGCAGATGCAGACTGTAGCCAGGAAATCAGAAGACGCTTCCTTCTTGGGAGGAGAGCAATGTCCAGTCTCGATAAAATAGTCAAGAGTAGAGACATCAGACTGGCAACAAAGATCCATTGCCTAGTCAAAGCCATGGTCTTCCCTGTAGTCACCTACGGATGTGAGAGCTGGACCTTAGGGAAGGCTGAGCGAAGGAAGATCGATGCTTTTGAGCTGTGGTGTTGGAGGAAAGTTCTGAAAGTGCCTTGGACTGCGAGAAGATCCAACCAGTCCATCCTCCAGGAAATAAAGCCCGACTGCTCACTGGAGGGAAAGATACTAGAGACAAAGTTGAAGTCCTTTGGCCACATCATGAGGAGACAGGAAAGTCAAAAGGAAGAGGGGCCGACCAAGGGCAAGATGGATGGATGGCATCCTTGAAGTGACTGAACTGACCTTGAAGGAGCTGGGGGTAGTGCTGACAGGGAGCTCTGGCGTGGGCTGGTCCATGAGGTCACAAGAGTCGGAGACGACTGAACGAATGAACAACAACAACAATCCTTGATTGGTTACCAACTAATTGACCCAACTCAAACCCAGGATTGCATCATTGACAATCACTCTGGGTAGGCAAAAACACACTTCCCAAATGATTCCCCACATACAATCAATACATTCTCAGCATTCACAACAGAAACCCATTAGTTCATTAGCAGTGCATGACTCAATACATAGTAAAACCTAACAGGGTTTTTGCTTGGGGCTCTCGCAAATGTGTTGTCCTTGGAGCTTAACCAAGGCATGATCTGGGAATCACGGGTGCTTTGTCTCGTTTTCAGGAGAACTCGTTTTGGGCTTTGGCTCCGACGGCAGACCAACATCGAGAAGAACGGTGGCACCTTGGATGGAAGAAGTAGCAAGAGGAATATCCAACTCAGTGGCACCGGACACTATGCGGGCGTACAGGGAGGCCGTGGCCAAGTTCTTTTTATTTAAGGCGACGATGGGCTATAACCGGGGCTGGCCAGCTTTGGAGGATGAGGTGCTCCATTACTTGGTGCACCACAAGAAGGAGGGATTAGATCCAGACACTTTGCGCACCCACTCAGATGGGATATCCTTTTTCAGCAAAATCATGGGCTTGGCTGACCCGGGAGCGTGTTTCCGGGTCAAAACAATACTGAAAAGTTGGAAGCGGAGTACTAGGGGATCCCATACAAGGACAAACACTAAGAGGGCGATCACATACCGTCAGCTTACGGACTTGGTCCGGCAATTGAAAATGATATGCCATTCTAAAGCGGAAGCGTACCTCTTCCGGGCAGCCTTCACGGTGGCCTTCTTCGGAGCCTTGAAGACGAGCCAATTGGTGGCCGACTCCAAGACGGACCTGTCCGGGCGAGCCCTTCGGCTCGAGGACATTTCATTGAGGGACAATACCGTAGCCATCAAAACCAGGGATTGGGGAGGAAGGTGGGTTGTGGTGCAGGTCGGGAGATTAGCACAAGGGGAGCTGTGCCCATACTACGTCCTTCAAAAGTTTCTAAAGGTAAGGGGGGCGGGGCCAGGGCCACTCTTGGTACACCAAGACGGGACACCGCTCACCCGCTACCAGTTCTGGGCCGTTTTCAGGATGGCCTTGGAACGACTGGGGCTTCCGGCGTCCGAGTTTGGCGAACACTCCTTCAGTATGGGAGCGGCACAGGGAGGGTGGCCGGTGGGCATAACTGCTAGGATGCAGACTCCACCCGGGCATATGCCAGGGCATGGACCTATGACGTCTGGCCAATTTGGGTGGTCATCTGGAGGAAGTAGGGCATTGGGTTGGTGAAGTGAAGGTGGACATGGACAACTGTTGGCCCTTGAAAGATGGCAGGGACTTGGGTCAGTGTTTGTTTTGGTGTAATTGGGTTGGCAGAAGGTGGACATCTTGACCATTGTTTGGGGCAGTTCAGCATGGGTCCAGGATCTAGGTGTACCATCTCCTCTGGACCAGGCATGGGCAAACTTTGGGTGAAGTGAAGGTGGGCATGGACAACTGTTGGCCCTCGAAAGATGGCAGTGACTTGGGTCAGTGTTTGGTTTCAGTGGCATTGGGTTGGCGAAGGTGGACATCTTGGCCATTGTTTGGGCAGTTCAGCATGGGTCCAGGATCTAGGTGTACCATCTCCTCTGGACCAGGCATGGGCAAACTTTGGGCCGTCCCTCAAGGTGTTTTGGACTCCAACTCCCACAATTCTTAACAGCCTCGGGACCCGGGGTTGGTCCCGAGGCTGTTAGGAATTGTGGGAGTTGGAGTCCCAAACACCTGGAGGGACGGCCCAAAGTTTGCCCATACCTGCTCTGGAACCAACCAAGAACTATACCCTATTTTTTCCCAATTCTGTAATTCTTCTACGTCTTGTGACATGTTATCTTCCATTACCAGTTTGAAGCAGCAACACGCCAAAATGTATGTTTCCATGTTGTACAAGTTGAGTTTATCTGTTCCAAATAAATAAGTTGCAACCTCTTTCCGTATGTGGTTTGCGTTTTCACTCAGGTGAGCTCCATCAGTATAATGTGAGGAGGAAGAGAATTCTTATTTGGTGGGACGAAGCCATCCTCCGGCACCGTTCGGACTTGTCTTGGGGAAATATAAATATTCTGCCACAATTAGACTACTTTACCTCGAATATTGCGTCCCATTCTGGGCACCACAATTGAAGGGAGATGTTGACAAGCTGGAAAGTGTCCAGAAGAGGGCGACTCAAGTGATCAAGGGTCTGGAAAACAAGCCCTATGAGGAGCGGCTTAAGGAGCTGGGCATGTTTAGCCTGAAGAAGAGAAGGCTGAGAGGAGACATGATAGCCATGTATAAATATGTGAGATGAAGTAATTATTATTATTATTACTATTATTATTATACGTGTCCAGAAGAGGGTGACTTATATGACCAAGGGTCTGGAGAACAAGCCCTATGAGGAGCGGCTTAAAGAGCTGGGCATGTTTAGCCTGAAGAAGAGAAGGTTGAGAGGAGACATGATAGCCATGTATAAATATGTGAGAGTAAGTTGTTATTATTATTATTATTACTATTATTATTATTATTATTATTATTATTATTATTATTATTATTATTATATGTGTCCAGAAGAGGGCAACTCAAACGGTCAAGGGTCTTGAGAACAAGCTCTATGAGGAGTGGCTGAAAGAGCTGGGCATGTTTAGCCTGAAGAAGAGAAGGCTGAGAGGAGACATGATAGCTATGTATAAATATGTGACATGGTCATTATTATTATCCATCATCATCATTATTATATGTGTCCAGAAGAGGGCGACTAAAATTATCAAGGGTCTGGAGAACAAGCCCTATGAGAAGCGGCTGAAAGAGCTGGCCATGTTTAGCCTGCAGAAGAGAAGACTGAGAGGAGAATTCTTAACTTCACTAATGATGGAATTGAACCAAGCTTGGCACACAGTACCCCCATGACCAACAGAAAATACGGGAAGGGTTTGATGGGTATTGACCTTGAGTTTTGGAGTAGTAGTTCACCTAGATCCAGAGAGCACTGTGGACTCAAACAATGATGGATCTGGACCAAACTTGGCACAAATGTTCAATATGCCCAAATGTGAACAGTAGTTGAGTTTGGGGAAAATAGATCTTGACATTTGGGAGTTGTAGTTGCTGGGATTTATAGTTCACATACAATCAAAGCATTCTTAACTTCACTAATGATGGAACTGAACCAAACTTGGTACACAAAACCCCCATGATCCACAGAAAATACTGGAAGGGTTTGGTGGGCATTGACCTTGGAGTTTGGAGTTGTAGTTCACCTACATCCAGAGAGCACTGTGGACTCAAACAAGGATGGAACTTGGTACGAATACTCAATATGCCCAAATGTGAACACTGCTGGAGTTTGGGGAAATAGACCTTGACATTTGGGAGTTGTAGTTGCTGGGATTTATAGTCCTAATCAAAAAGAGCATTCTGAACCCCACCAATAGAATTGGGCCAAACTTCCCACAGAACCCCCATGACCAACAGAAAATACTGGAGAGGATTGGGGGACTGAGCTTTGTAGTTGTAGTTCACCTAGATCCAAGAGCACTGTGGACTCAAACAATGATGGATCTGGACCAAACTTGGCACGAATGTCAATATGCCCAAATGTGAACACTGGTTGAGTTGGGGAAAATAGATCTTGACATTTGGGAGTTGTAGTTGCTGGGATTTATAGTTCACATACAATCAAAGCATTCTTAACTTCACTAATGATGGAACTGAACCAAACTTGGTACACAAAACCCCCATGATCCACAGAAAATACTGGAAGGGTTTGGTGGGCATTGACCTTGGAGTCTGGAGTTGTAGTTCACCTACATCCAGAGAGCACTGTGGACTCAAACAAGGATGGAACTTGGTACGAATACTCAATATGCCCAAATGTGAACACTGCTGGAGTTTGGGAAAATAGACCTTGACATTGGGAGTTGTCGTTGCTGGGATTTATAGTTGACCTTGAGTTTTGGAGTCAATCAAAGAGCATTCTGAACCCCACCAATGATAGAATTGGGCCAAACTTCCCACACAGAGACCCCCATAACCAACATAAAATATTGGAGGGATTTGGGATGAATTGACCATGATTTAGGGGAGATGTAGTTCACCTACATCCAGAGAGCACTATGGACCCAAACAATGATGGATCTGGACCAAACTTGGCACAAATATTCAATATGCCCAAATGTGAACACTGGTTGAGTTTGGGGGAAATAGACCTTGACATATGGGAGTTGTAGTTGCTGGGATTTATAGTTCACCTACAATCAAAGATCATTCTGAACCCCACCAATGATAGAATTGGGCCAAACTTCCCACACAGAGATCGCCATGACCAACAGAAAATACTGGAGGGATTTGGGACGATTGAGCAGGAGGTCCATCCAGTGGCTCCTTGTATTATCATTCTTAGGTTTTGTGTAGCTGCTCATGTGGATTCGGTCATACCTTCCTGAACATGCAAGCCAGTGGTTTCAGTGTTCCCCTTACTAGGGACAAAACTGCTACAAGGTGTAAGGAATGAGTAGATGATTGAGAACGAACTGTGGTCGATAGAGCATTTTAGGGGGGGGAAACACCGTCATCTCACCTTGACGGCAGGGATGCTAAGGTTCGCGTAGATGAAGGCTGTGGATCCACCAGCTTCCACCGAACTCAGCTGGGTAGAAAATAAAAAGAAGGAACATCAATTGTTGGTCCTCATTATGGAACATCGCATGAGAAAATGAATAATTATGCACAAGTCGAAGAAAATAAAGTGACTTGCCATCTTGCTTTCAATGGCTATAAGAACATATAGTTATTTATTTATTTACAGTATTTATATTTCGTCCTTCTCACCCCGCAGGGGACTCAGGGTGAATCACAATGCACACAGACATGGCAAACCTTCAATGCCATAGACACACAGCATATACAGACAGACACACAGAGGCTATTTAATTTTCCAGCTTAATGAGGGTATGCTTTGAATTCTGGCCACCGGGGGAGCTGTTGCTTCACCGTCCACTTGTGACACTGATGGAGTACTTCCTCATTCTTTTGCATGTTGCTGGAGATTTTTATGGCATCATAATTTATTTATTTATTTATTTATTTATTTATTTATTTGCGGCATTTATGGCCTGCCTTTCTCAACCATATGGCGACTCAAGGTGGAGACACTGATTGGCCACTCAGTTGAGAACGGCGGATATAAAAATTATCCTCTGCCACATGTTGCTGTGGCCCAGTCTATGTATATGTGTTTTGTGTGTGTATATATGTGTATATTTATATTTTGTATATATGTGGCTTTGCACAAGTATTGTGATGTATTTTTTATTTTTTGGCTTTTAAAGTCATTTCTGCTGTGTTTTCCAGTGTTTTCACTCGTTAGCCTGATAGGTGTACTGTGTCCAAATTCGCTGTCAATTCGTCCAGTGGTTTTTGAGTTATGTTAATCCTACAAACAAACATTACATTTTTATTTATATAGACATGGAATATGTTTAAATGGCCATCCAACCTTTAAACAGAGGTTGGATGGCTATGTGTTGGGGGTGCTTTGAATGTTAAATTAGCCTCCCCGCATAAGGCGGTACCTACATTTCCTACTTGACAGATGCAACTGTCTTTCGGGCTACAAAGGTCGACAGGAAGCTAGACAACTGGTCGGGAGCTTACTCCAACCCGGGCTGGCTTCAAACTCATGACCTTTTGGTCAGTAGTGATTTTAATGCAGCTGACTCCCAACCAGCTGTGCCACAACCCGGTCCTTTATAGTCTCTCAATATTATGATATACTGTCAGACCCCCCTAAATAACATACTGTAAATTTTAGAACTGTTTGTGAAAATACTTACATAAATCATCAAAGTGGCTATTCGGTTTCCGGATTTCAGTCTGTAAAGGGGACTTTGTCTTGACTGTAAGAAAAGAACAGAATTGCTCATGGCTTATTCACAACTAAAGGCAATATTATTAAGAGCTGATGCATTTTTGTGCATTGGCAAAGCTGATGACCCACACACTAGAAACTTTGCAAGAAGGTTTCAAAAATACTCTCACTGAATGTCAATGGCCTTAACTCGCTGAACAAAAGGAAAAATGATTAAATAAAAAATGTTTGTATTCTCTTATATTACAATATTTCTGGATTGGGTGCAGACAGCAAAACAATTTAAATCAATGTAAAATCAGGAATGGAATTTTCTCATTTGAAATGTAATGGGAAAGAATTCCAGGTGCATCTACATTGTAAAATTAATGCTGTTTGGCACCCCTTTCTTTGCTATGACTCAATGCTATGGATCCTGGGAGCTGCAGTTTGGTGAGGCAATAACACTCCTTGGCAGAGGACACTAAAGGTCTTTTAAAACTATAGCTTCCAGGATTCCATAGCATTGAGCTATTGCAGTTCAATTGGTGTCAAACTGAAATAATTCTGTAGTGTGGATACATTCTGCTGAGTAGGGAAAAGCTAAAGACCTTTTAAAACTGGTTTAAAAACAACCCAAACAGTTTAAAGGCCAGAGTTCGAATCCTAGCTTGGCCATAGAAGCTTACAGCGTGATCTTTGGCAAGTCACACATTCTCAGCCTCAACAGAAAATAAAAGAATAGTATAGGGTCACAATGTATCTTATGAAAACCTGTGAGATATATACACACACACACATACGATGCCATAAAAATCTCCAGCAGCATGCAAAAGAATGAGGAAGTACTCCATCGGTGTCACAAGTGGACGGTGAAGCGACTGCTCCCCCGGTGGCCAGAATTCRAAGCATACCCTCATGAAGCTGGAAKGTTAAATAGCCTCTCTGTATTTGTCTATATATGTTATGAYGCCATAAAAAATCTCCAKCAGTGTGCAAAAGAATGAGGAAGTACTCCATTGGTGTCACAAGTGGACGGCGAAGCGACAGCTTCCCCGGTGGCCGGAATTCGGAGCATACCCTCATGAAGCTGGAAGGTTAAATAGCCTCTCTGTATTTGTCTATATATGTTATGACGCCATAAAAAATCTCCAGCAGTGTGCAAAAGAATGAGGAAGTACTCCATTGGTGTCACAAGTGGACGGCGAAGCGACAGCTTCCCCGGTGGCCGGAATTCGAGCATACCCTCATGAAGCTGGAAGGTTAAATAGCCTCTCTGTATTTGTCTATATATGTTATGACACCATAAAAAATCTCCAGCAGCATGCAAAAGAATGAGGAAGTACTCCATTGGTGTCACAGCTCCCTCGGTGGCTGGAATTCAAAGCATACCCTCATGAAGCTGGAAGGTTAAATAGCCTCTGTGTGTCTGTCTATATATGTTGTGTGTCCATGGCATTGAATGTTTGCCATTTATATGTGAATTGTGATCCGCCCTGAATTCCTGCGGGGTGAGATGGGCAGAATATAAATACTGTAAATAATATATATATATATATATATATATATATATATATATATATATATTATTGCTTATTTCTTTAGACTTGAAGGTTAACATTTATGCAACAACAATGCATTACAGCCAACAAACCAACCAGTTGTGACACAGTTTGGAAAGCTCTACTCTAGAAGCGTTGCATGAGGAATACTCACTGTGGCGTGGTCAAAATGGGGTTCGTAGTGTCCCCCCAACCCATAGTTCACCACTTGCAGGTATTCTGCGTAAGGATGTTGGGCGTTCAAGGCAGTAAGGGCTGCGATCCGGCGATCCAGTGCCAAGATCACTGGGTCCAAGGTGTCTTTCAGCCAGGCACTGAAATAATAATAATAATAATAATAATAATAATAATAATAATAATAATTTGCGAAGTGTCTTACGTGTGATCCAATACAACAGCCAGCAGAGTGTCTGCTGTGGACTCATCTTATTGTGTTTCTAATAATAATAATAATAATAATAATAATAACAATAACAACAACAACAACAACAACAACAATAATAATAAGCATTATGTTCCTTATGTGTCTATCATTAAGGCTCAAGGTGGGTTACAGCACAGAGATAAAATACAATAGATAAAATCATAAAACCAATAGAAACACATAGACATGGAGGAGGAGAACTCAACAAGTTCCTGGACCACGTCAACATCCACCCAAAAATCGAATTCACTATGGAAAAAGGAAATTAAGGAAAACTGTCATTTCTAGGGGTCCTAGTCATCTGTAAACCAAATCAACTATTAGGCCACAAAGTTTACAGAAAACCCAACAACACTGATAGAAGAGTTGAATGAAAAGTAGTGCCTCCACCTTTTTAACTCCTTAACAGATGGCAGTACTGGTATGCTGTAGGTACTGGTTTGTTCAGTAGACTCTCCTCTACAGTTCCATTTTGGCAGGAAGCCTTAGCATTGAACGGTTGTCTTGTTAAAGTGCAAAGTATGGAACCCTGCGCAGATGGTCTGTCAATGTGACTTAAGCAACTTATGTGGCAGGTACTGGCTTGTTCAGTAGACTCTCCTCTACAGTTCTATTTTGGCAGGAAGTCTTAGCATTGAACGGTTGTCTTGTTAAAGTGTGAAGTATGGAACCCTGCACGGATGGTCTGTCAATGCGACTTAAGCAACGTGCAGTCATTGAATTCTTTACAGCAGAAGGTGTCACCTCAAAGGAGATTCATCAGAGAATGCGAGCTGCTTATGGTGATTGTGTTGATGTAAGTACTGGGCGTCGTTGGGCAAGTAAGTTTAAAGATGTTGAGGTGGGAACATCTGACTTGTATGACAAACAAAGAGTTGGGTTGTTGTAGGTTTTTTCGGGCTATATGGCCATGTTCTAGAGGCATTTTCTCCTAAACAAAGAGTTGGATGTCCTGTGATAGCAACCACCGAGTTTCACAAGCAAAAGGTTGACAGATTGATTCAGGACGATCGTCGTATCACTCAGAGAGAAATTTCAAGCACAGTCGGCATTTCACAAAAACGTGTGGGCCACATTATTGCTTTGCTTGGCTATCGGAAAATCTGTGCATGATGGGTACCCAGGATGCTGACGCCTGAAATGAAAGCACACAGACTTGAAACTTCAGAAACTGGATCTCACCACCGTACGACATCCTAAATACAGTCCAGATTTAGCACCGTCTGACTTCCATCTGTTCCTGATAATGAAAGAAGATCTGCGGGGACATCATTATGCTTCTGATGAAGACGTTGAGAGAACTGTGAGACCCTGGTTGCGGAAACAGAGTGTTGACTTCTTCCGCGACGGCTTCAGAAAACTTGTTCATTGTTGGCAGAAATGTATCCAATTGTCTGGTGATTATATGGAAAGGGGAATAGTGGTTGTTAAAGAGCACATACTAAGGATTATTTCTGCATTTGATTTATTAAAATATTCTCATCCGAACCCAAGTAATAAAGGTGGAGGCATTACTTTTCATTCAACCCTCGTATTTATAGAGAGAGAGAGAAAGAGAGAAAGGGTCTGGTCTTAAATTTTTCCCAGAATGTGCCGTTCCACATCCGGAGATTAATTGGCTTTAAATTCCTTAATCAGCAGGCGGCGCAATTAGTTTTGCATCCGGCTTTGCAAACCCAACCTTGTTATTCTTTCCTGGAAAAACTGGAGGAGAAGCAAGAGTTAACGGTTGGCTCGTCTTCCTGTTCTTCAAAAGCCAAAGAATGAAATTCCAGCAGTTTTTGAAAAATAATAATACTGGAGGTTTCAAACCCCGGGAATGAGATCATGCTGGAAAATAATACTTGCCCGCAGTGTGGTGCAGCCGTAGCAAAGGCATATCTCATCCATGTGAGCGAATTGCAAGAGGACCCTGTCTTGGAAAGTCATTTTTTCCCATGATTTAAGGAAACTTCTGGGGAAGCGGGAAATGACAAATGCAGCTGTTGGCGATGATGGCTTTGTCTCGTTTGCAGATTATAGAAAAGGCTTTCCTGCAAATATATGCACACTATAGAATGGATGCAGTTTAACACCACTTTATACTGGCTATGGCTCTTACTTACTTACTTGGGCGATCCCTCGTAGTCCAAGGATGATGGTCCTCCAAGTGCGGTGTCCTGGCGGTGGGTCCGTAGGTGACTCTGGAGCCCAATTCTTGATCTGCATCTTCTCCCGCAGTGAGGGCATTGGTTTCCAGGTGGAAGGTGGTCTCGGTCGGGGTTGGCTTGACGCGCTTTCCTCTTGGCACGTTTCTCACTTTCACCCTCCATTCGTGCCTCTCGAATTCTGCAGCACTGCTGGTCACAGCTGACCTCCAGCTGGAGTGCTCAAGGGCCAGGGCTTCCCAGTTCTCAGTGTCTATGCCAGAGTTTTTAAGGTTGGCTTTGAGCCCATCTTTAAATCTCTTTTCTTGTCCACCAACATTCCGTTTTCCGTTCTCAAGTTCAGAGTAGAGCAACTGCATTGGGAGACGGTGGTCAGGCATCTGGACAACGTGGCCGGTCCAGCGGAGTTGATGGCGAAGGACCATTGCTCGATGCTGGTGGTCTTTGCTTCTTCCAGCACGCTGTCCACTTGTCTGCCTGTCTTCCCAAGAGATTTGCAGGATTTTTCAAAGGCAGCGCTAATGGAATCGTTCCAGGAGTTGCATGTGACGTCTGTAGACAGTCCACGTTTCGCAGGCATATAGCAGGGTTGGGAGGACAATAGCTTTATAGACAAGCATCTTGGTATCCCTACGGATGTCCCGGTCCTCAAACACTCTCTGCTTCATTCGGGAAAATGCTGCACTCGCAGAGCTCAGGTGGTGTTGTATTTCGGCGTCGATGTTGACTTTTGTGGAGAGGTGGCTGCCAAGGGAGCGGAAATGCTCAACATTTTCTAATGTTACACCATTAAGCTGTATCTCTGGCATTGGAGAGGGGATGGCTGGTGACTGCTGAAACAGCACTTTGGTTTTCTTGATGTTCAGTGACAGGCCAAGCTTCGTGTATGCTTCTGCAAAGGTGTTGAGAGTGGCTTGTAGATCTTCTTCTGTATGCTCACAGACGACATTGTCATCAGCATACTGGAGTTCTATAACAGATGTTGTTGTAACTTTGGTTTTGGCTTTCAGTCTTGGGAGTGGTAGACTTACAACTGTATTGTCGAAGGCTTTCATGGCTGGAATCACTGGGTTGTTGTAGGTTTTTTCGGGCTACATGGCCATGTTCAAGAGGCATTCTCTCCTGACGTTTCACCTGCATCTATGGCAAGCATAGGGGAAGTCACAGGGAGGAGGGAGCAAGCTTGTTTTCTGCTGCCCTGGAGACTAGGGCGCAATTGAGCAATGGCATAAACTATAGGAAAGAAAGGAGATTCCATCTGAACATTAGGAAGAACTGTCACGATGCCAGGGCTCTGCCGTTATTCAGGCAGAGGTGAATCAAAAAAACACCCATTGAGAACTCTTCAGCAGTGGAACTCTCTCTCTGCCTCGGAGTGTGGCGGAGGCTCCTTCTTGTGAGGATTTGAAAAGGGATGCCATGATGTAATGGGTTAACTGGAAAGACACGTGTAAGCAGCTGATTGGCTGACTGTGCCAGGAGCCAGAGTTCTGATTGACTGCTGCCTCTCTTGCTGCTGAGATCAACGGTTCTAACTGTCACTTTCACTTTGGATAGTGAAGAGAGTGCTGCTGCCAACTCTCTTGAAGCTTGATCATTTTAAGGCATGGGGCATATTTTAAAGAGTATTTAAAAGGACTATTTTATTCCTCTGTTGTCTGTGTGAATTCAGAAAAGACTGATGTATATATTGTTGCGGAGCCCCCGATGGCGCAGAGGGTTAAAGCGCTGAGCTGCTGAGCTTTTTGATCGAAAGCTCGCAGGTTCGAATCCAGGGAGGGGCGTGAGCTTCTGCTGTCAGCCCCATCTTCTGCCAACCTAGCAGTTTGAAAACATACAAATGTGAGTAGATCAATAGGTACTGCTCCAGTGGGAAGGTAACAGCGCTCCATGCAGTCATGCTGGCCACATGACCTTGGAGGTGTCTACGGACAACTCCGGCTCTTCTGCTTAGAAATGGAGATGAGCACCACACCCTAGAGTCAGACATGACTGGACTTCATGTCAGGGGAAAACCTTTACCTTACCTTTATATAGTTGCCCTGTTTGAAGTTCTGAACTGAAGTAAAGATACTGCTACTTGTTACACAAGCCTGAGTGACAATTTATTATACTGTAGGGTATATCTTGGTTTAAATACTGTGGCAAAGCTTCCGTTTATTCACATTTACCAACCCTCGCACTTCTTTGGAGGCTTTTAAACAGAGGCTGGATGGCCATCTGTCGGGGGTGCTTTGAATGCAATTTTCCTGCTTCTTGGCAGAATGGGGTTGGACTGGATGGCCCATCAGGTCTCTTCCAACTCTAGGATTCTAGGATTTCAACCTGAATTGGCAAGGTCTGACCAAAGGAGAATAGAGTGGAACTATGAATTACCTTTTGCTGATTCGATAGTCTGCTTCCTGTTGCTTTTCTCCGGAGGCAACCACCGATCTCTGTAACTGGAGAGGAGCAAGGAGAGAAAGAGATACTTACTTACTTAGTTTTAAGTTTTAAGCATTGATTTTAAACTCATGCCCTGAGTTTAATCTCTGTTCTGTGTATTTCAATATGTATTTTATAAAAATACACCTGAATGGTTCAGGACCCACCTACCTCCGTGACCGCATTTCCTCTTATGAACCTGCGCGATCCCTTTGATCTTCAGGGGAGGCCCTCCTCTTACTCCTGCCTCCTTCACAAGAGTGGCTTATGGCAACGAGGGACAGGGCCTTCTCCTGGTGGCCCCTCAGCTATGGAACTCGGTCCCCAGGGAGATTAAGCAAGCACCCACCCTGGCAACTTTTAGGAAAAGTTTAAAAACTTGGCTTTTCCTGTGCGCTTTCGAAGAATGAATAACTAATTCTCAAAGGATCTTGTCCACGTCCCTGAGCTGAACCAATTGAAATGAATCCATCAAAACTGGACAAGCAGGTGCTCATGTTACATCCTCAGAGACTGCCGTTAATGTGGCACCAAAGTCTGAACGGATCAGAGCGACATTGTCCACAAAGAACCAAGCAAATGCTTCACAGCGGGCCGCCAAGTTATCAGGGATCTGGCTCTGAGGCGGATTTAATAGTCCTCTAACAACCAGAACAGCTTAACTGGATGGTTCTGTGCAGATGCAATATTGGCTGCAAGAAAGGATTTCTGTGCGGCCTTTATTGCCATGTCGTAGGTCCTTAAAAAGGAACCCAAGTGTGCTTGAGCTGATTCATTACGCTTCCACCTCAACATGCACTCTAGTCTCCTCTTCTTTCACTTCATTGCTGCCAGCTCCTCAGTGAACCAAGGGGCTGGTTTATCTCGGTTACTCGAGAGGGAGCGTTACGGAGCAATCGTGTCTACTGTTGTATGTCTATCTGGCATTGAATGTTTGCCATGTATCTGTGCATTGTAATCCGCCCCGAGACTCCTGCAGGGTGAGAAGGGCAGAATGTAAATAATGTAAATCTATATATATATAAATGTAATGTTCGTTTGTGGGATTAGAAGAGAGGGGTGTTAGAGTAGCTCAGACTCACTTTATTTACCACGGAGAAATGTAGTTATTTCTTATTATCTATATAAATAAAAATGTAATGTTCGTTTGTGGGATTAACATAACTCAAAAACAACTGGGCGAATTGACACCAAATTTGGACACAAGACACCTATTAAGCCAAGGAGTGACCATCACTCAAAAAAATTGATTTTGTCATTTGGGAGTTGTAGTTGCTGGGATTTATAGTTCACCTACAATCAAAGAGCATTCTGAATTCCAACCAATGATGGAATTGAACAAAGCATGGCATACAGGACTCCCATGACCAACGGAAAACACTAGAAGGGTTTCGTGGGAGTTGACCTTGACTTTCCTGATGCCTGTGATGTCGAGCATCCCCCCCCCCAAATAAGGGATAGTGACTTATAGTTCTGCAAAGGGCAAGGGTACCAGACTACACAACAAGGGTTAAGTCTTGGTCACATTGCCAAGGCACTGACAACAACAAGGACCCCACGAGGCTTTTGGGAAATGGCTGGATCTTGGGACTTCTGCCCTTTGTGAGAGTTGTAGTTTCCCAAGGACCAAAGCGTGAATCAGTTGCAGCACAGCTGGGGTTTCATCTGCCAGCCTTCCCAATGATCATGGACTCTCTGCCTGCATGTCTTGGACTTCAGTACATACTATCTCCCTCATGAACTTTCCTCAAAGACCTTTTAAAACATTGGACTTCAGGCTTCTTCATGAAAATTAATTCTCTTATTAAATATACTTGGAATGTGGGACAAAGATAGGGTTTTGTTGCTATGAAATGCTTATGATTATGAATGTATGTATCTTGCTATGAAATATTGCCTTTCCCCTTTGCCTTTTGCCCTAGAAAATGTGACCCAGGACTGTTGAAATGCTTGAGGGAGAACCACCACCTCCCTTTCTTATTTGATTATTTCACATCTGCATGGAACAATAGCCATTTATGGTTTCCTTTGTCTCGCCCTCGGAGTTGGTCCAGTGAGATGAGGAAGTCTATTTGGAATACGGACATTATAATTGATTTACAAAGGGCAGTGTTGATCCCCCCCGAGGTCCGCTGCCCTGATCGTGTTTGTTTCCCTCACCAAAACCCCTCAAAGGACAATAAGCTGCATCGGCTGGAGACATTTTTCCTTTGTTTTGTTGAGCACATGGCCAGTTTCCATTGACCCATTCATGAACTCTCTTTGTGTTCTGTCATCCGCCTCCCCTCTTCTGATTCGCTGGCCGGCGGGCGACAGGAGCCCTCCCCCTTGGATCCAGCACGCCCCTGAAGCTCCCTGATTGGTCCAGGAGCCCAGGGGATGGGAGGCTCCTCCCCAGCTGCTCGCCCTGTTGCCCAATCACAGCGGGGAACGTCAGAGGAGCCGGGGCGGGAAGTTTGAACTCTGGGTTTTCAAAAATTGTATAAATATGCCTGCATCACTGTGCTCCTGCATGCTTGTAGTGGAACTATTCCTACAATGCATCTGATTGCAGCTGAATCGCTAATAAAACACCTCGGTCGCTGAAACTTCTTCCACTTTGGTGAGGATTTATTATTTTCAATATTTTATCGCTGAAATTGGCTTCGCTGGCCTCACCAAGGTTCCAGGACTCTCTTTGGTGCGGTCCTCAGGGATCTCCTCAGCTGGGAGACCCTTCTAAAAGCAGCTTGATATCAGTAGTTCATCTATATCCAGAGAGCACTGTGGACTCAAACAATGAAGGATCTGGACCAAACTTGGCACGAATATTCCATTTGCCCAAATATGAACCCAAATAGAGTTTGGGGGAAAATAGACCTTGAAATTTGTGAGTTGTAGTTACTGGGATTTATAGTTCACCTACAATCAACGAGCATTATGACCCCCACGAACTGTTTACCCACAAGCATAGAGACATTACATATATTAGAAACCAACACTTTCTCGTTACTTTATTTTCTAGATCACCAGACTGGGCCACAGCAATGTGTGGCAGGGGAGGCTTCCTCGGCCTCATCAAACTACGACTTCTAGGATGAGACATGGAAGTTGATGCAGAGCCACGCCTCACCCATCCCATCTGTGTGCATTTCATTCTTATTGCCGAAGTGTCATGCCATGCATTTTGTTCTCCCTGTTGGAAGTTCCTGGAGCGGGATCGCATGTGCACAGAGAGCTTGAACACGCCAAGCGTGGAACCGCAGGACTAATGCCCTGCTGCATACGTGGTGGGTGAAGTGAATAATCTCTGCATTATTTGGGGTTTTGTGGTTGCTGAGGCAACTCGGCAGAGGCATGGGACGGGGAAGAAGGCATTATTTCAGCCAAGAGAGTGGGATTGCGTTTTTTCCTTCTCCTGTTTCCAAGTGTCAGCGTTTTGAAAATTTAACTCTTGGCTGCCGCCAGAGTCGGAATAATTCCAAAGCAACAAATTGGGGCCGTGCATTCGAGCAGGCATGGGCCAACTTGGGCCCTCCCTCCAGGTCTCTGATAACATCCTTCAATATGTAGATGACTATTAGCTGGTAGCCTGAGTTGTAGGTTTGTCGGGCTGTAGTGCCACGTTCTAGAAGCATTCTCTCCTGACGTTTTTGTCTGCAAAAATAGGGGAACTCCAAAGAAACAATCAGGGCCAACTAACATCTCCCAACAAACGATTCCCCAGACAGGAAGCATCCAGGCTTTGAAGCTGCATTCAGTGCTAATCAAGGTGGCCAATTAATCAAGGTGGCTGTCTGGCCATGTTCCAGAAGCATTCTCTCCTGACGTTTCACCCACATCTATAGCAGGCATCCTCAGAGGTTGTGTACGTTTTTTCAGGCTAAATGGCCATGTTCTAGAGGCATTCTCTCCTGACGTTTCACCTGGATCTATGGCAAGCATCCTCAGAGGTTGTGAGGTCTGTTGGAAACTAGGAAAATTGGGTTTATATATCTGTGGAATAATGTCCAGGTGGGAGAAAGAACTCTTGTCTGTTGGAGGTAGGCGTGAATGTTTCAATTGGTCACTTCACTGTCCACTTGTGACACCAATGGAGTACTTCCTCATTCTTTTGCACGCTGCCTCCCCTCATAAGCGGTACCTAAATTTCCTACTTGACGGATGAAACTGCAAAGGTTGACAGCAAGCTAGACAAATGGCCGGGAGCTCATGACTTTTTGGTCAGTAGCGATTTTAATGCTGCTGACTCCCAGCCAGCTGTGCCACAATCCGATCCTGACTGAGATGACTAGGACATTTTCTTTTTCCATGGTGAATTGGATGTTTGGGTGGATGCTGTTAATGTGGTCCAGGAACCTGTTTAGTTCTTCTTCGCCATGGCTCCAAATGGTGACGGTGTCATCCACATATCTGAACCATAGAGTAGGCTTTTTGTAGGCTATTATGAATAGTCGAAGTCCAAAACACTTGGAGGGAGGGCCGAAGTTGGCCCATGCTTGTGCTAAACTATTCTTATTATTATTCTTATTTCAAGTTACATTGTCTCGTGCCCGTCTTTCTTACCAAAGGGGCGGCCAAGGCTTTGAGGGTCTCAGCTTCGGAGTCGCTGACGAAGTCGTGGTAAAGGGCCAGGTAGGGCTTCAGGTGGACAACTTCCCTTTTCAGCGGCTGGAGAAACAGCAGCGGGTCCCCATTCGTCTCGAAAGAGCAGGTCAAGCTGGGGCTCTCGTAATGGCTTGGCTGAAAGGGAAAAATTGGCATTATTATTGATTAGTAGGTAAAGGTTTTCCCCTGACATTAAGTCCAGTCGTGTCCGACTCTGGGGGTTGGTGCTCATCTCCATTCCTAAGCCTAAGAGCCGGCATTGTCCATAGACACCTCCAAGGTCATGTGGCCAGCATGACTGCATGGACCGCCGTTACCTCCCCACCGGAGTGGTACCTATTGATCTATTAATTTATTTACAACATTTATATGCCGCCCTTCTCACCCCGAAGGGGACGCAGAGCAGCTTACAAGATATATATATATAGATAGATATAGATATAGATATATATACACACACACACACACAATATATTAAATTATTATTAAATTAAAAATTAAATTAGTATATTAAATTATATTACAATACTAAGTAATATTGCAATATAATGGTGTAGTACAATATTACTATATTGTACTACACCACTATATTGTAATATTATTAGTAATATTACATGTAATATAAATATATATAATTATAGTATTGTATTAGTAGTAGTATTATATTGTATTACATTATAATATTATAAATATTATATGTATATACAATATATTATATTATTAGTAAAGCACAGGTTTATATTAAATTATTAAATTATATTGTAATATTAAATAATATTACAATATAATGGTGTAGTACAATATTACTATATTTTACTACACCACTATATTGTAATATTATTAGTAATATTACATGTAATATAAAATATATAATTATTATATTGTATTATTAGTGGTATTGTATTACATTATAATATTATAAATATTATATGTATATACAATATATTATATTATATTATATCATATTATTAGTAAAGCACAGATTTATATTATATTATATTATATTATATTATATTATATTATTAGTAAAGCACATGTTTTATATTACAATATAATGGTGTAGTACAATTTTACTATATTGTGCTACACCATTATATTGCAATATTATTAGTAATATTACATGTAATATAAAATATATAATTATAATATTGTATTATTAGTAGTATTATATTGTATTACATTATAATATTATAAATATTATATGTATATACAATATATTATATTATTAGTAAAGCACAGGTTTACTAATATTATATTATATTATATTATTAGTAAAGCACATGTTTTCTAACTGCTAGGTTGGCAGAAGCTAGGAGCTTTCCAAATACGCAGCTCCAAATAATGTAATATTTTGGATTGCAAGCTACCAAAACTCCCTAGTCAATATTCTGGGAGATATAGTCCTACGAAAGGTATGTCTACACTGCAAAATGGATGGATGCAGTTGGACACCACTTTCGTCTTGTCTCAATGCTATGGGAGTTGTAGTACGCACCAGCACTTTTTGATATTGAGGACCTTGCAAAACTACAACTTCCATGATTGCGTACCATTGAGCCAAGGTAACTATAGTGTTGTCAAATTTGATTTAATGTATTGTCGAAGGCTTTCATGGCTGGAATCACTGGGTTGTTTGTAGGTTTTTCGGGCTATATGGCCATGTTCTAGAAGCATTCTCTCCTGACGTTTTGCCTGCATCTATGGCAAGCATCCTCAGAGGTTGTGATGATATGTTTAGATTTATCTCCCAAAGAGTGTTGTTGCCTCACCGAACTACAACTCCTAGGATTCCATAGCATTGAAAGTGGTATCAAACTGCATTAATATCACAGTGTAGATGCCCTTAAATCGTCCCATACTGACCTGAGAGCCCAAAGTCTGGCACAACCATTCGTAAGTGTCTCTGGTTTCGATGTGGGTCACGTTGGGCCTCTGAAGAGCCACTTCTTCGTTCTCATCATTGGGTTTGGCTACCAAAAGCTTCTCGTATTTTAAGACATTCCTGGCCATCCTCTTGTTGCTCGGATCTAGGAGAGAGAAGAGCTTTCAGTGGCAGCTGGAGAACAATGGGTTGGTCCACTCCGGGTTTAAGTCCGAAATTTAAAAGGACAGTACCAAGGCTGTTGAACCCTCTAAACAAAGTAGCTCTTAAAACCTGTTTCTTAACACTTTTTGGATGGCTTCCTAAAGAGGAGTGGATTCACAGCCCTACTAGCATAATAGCCACCAATTCTGAACCAAAAAGAAAATGTGGGTTGCCAACTGATCGGGAGGGAAAATGCTCCTCTGCCTTTAACTGACTAGTTGAATTAGTGACTCTAACATTTAATGCTATGGAACAAAACATACAGATGATATTGAATGAGTGAAGAAGCACCCACACTTTCACTTTTTGCCTGAACCAAAAAGAAAATGTAGGTTGCCAACTGATCAGGGGGAGAAATGCTCTTCTGCCTTTAACTAAAATGTTGAAACTACGGTGAGGTGGATCTGTAATTGGTTAAATGGGCGAACTCAGAGGGTGCTTCTTCCCAAGGCTTCCTCTTCCTCATCCTGGAAAGAAGTGACGAGCGGAGTGCCATCAGGAGGGTTCTGTCCTGTGCCCGGTCCTGCTCGAGATCTTCATTAATGACTTAGATTAAGGGCTAGAAGGCGTGATCATCAAGTTTGCAGATGGGACCAAATTGGGAGGGATAGCCAATATTCCATTGGACAGGAGCAGGATTCAAAACCATCTTGACAGATTAGAGAGATGATGGGCCAAAACCAATAAAATGAAGTTCAGCAGGGACAAATGCAAGATACTCCACTTTGGCAGAAAAAAATGAAATGCAAAGATACAGAATGGGGGATGATGAGTCCTGGCTCGAGAGCAGTACGTGTGAAAAAGATCTTGGAGTCCTTGTGGACAGGAAGGTGAACATGAGCCAACAATGTGATGCGGCGGCAAAAAAAAAATCAATGGAATTTTGGCCTGCATCAAGAGGAGCCTAGTGTCTAGATCTAGGGAAGTCATGCTCCCCATGCTCTATTCCGCTTTGGTTAGACCACACCTGGAATATTGAGTCCAGTTGAATTGAAGAGAGATATTGACAAGCTGGAATGTGTCTAGAGGAGGGCGACTCAAATGATCAAGGGTCTGGAGAACAAGCCCTATGAGGAGCGGCTTAAGGAGCTGGGCACTGCCGTTCAGCAGTGGAACTCTCTGCCCCGGAGTGTGGTGGAGGCTCCTTCTTTGGAAGCTTTTAAGCAGAGGCTGGATGGCCATCTGTCAGGGGTGATTTGAATGCAATGTTCCTGCTTCTTGGCAGAATGGGGTTGGACTGGATGGCCCATGAGGGCTCTTCCAACTCTTTGATTCTATGATTCTATGCGTGACTCTAACATTTAATGGCATGGAACAAACTATAACCATATTGTAATAATAATAATAATAATAATAATAATACTTATTATTAGACAGCACTGATAAGAAATTAAGAGTTAGAGTTGGGGTTACATCTCCCAGCATCTTCCAATAGTCATTGTGATTGGGGAATACTGGGAATCATAGTCTAGAACCTAACTGCTCCAAGCTGTGGGTTCAAAAACCCTAGACGACGACAGTTTTGGGTCCAAAAAGATGCCAAATTGTTACAAAAGACCAGAATAAATTATTTTAATGTCCATTACAGCAAGGAATAAATGTGATTTTTTTTAAAATAAGGGGTTATCCAAGGGTTATTTCCCCAAATCCATCGTGTTGTGTGCTTTCCAGTAAAGCCAGAAAAGGGCGAAAACACACGGATGAATGTTCATCTTTACTATTTCCCAATGACGAAGGGGAATGGAATGTGTCAGAAGGCAAGAGCTGATTCTCTAAAGCCTGATGTTTAGACTCGCAAAGACACAACCTGATAATAATATAGAGATCTGGATATATAATGCACTTACCATAGTGGAGGAATTCTTGGGAGAGGCTTAAGGCATGAGAAATGTTTCCTGCCTTCACAAAAATACAAAAAAGAAGAAGTTTGAGTCACAAAGAGGGTGGGATTTATTCATATTTCACGCATTTGTACCCCGTCCTTCTCTCAGGACTCATTAGATGCCAAACAAACACATCAAAATAAACACATTGCAATTAAAACAACACTTAAAAGCAGTTATAAACAATGGGTTGTTGTAGGTTTTTTTGGGCTATATGGCCATGTTCTAGAGGCATTCTCTCCTGACGTTTCGCCTGCATCTATGGCAAGCATCCTCAGAGGTTGTGAGGTCTGTTGGAACTAGGAAAAAGGGTTTATATATCTGTGGAATGATCAGTGTGGGACAAAGGACTCTTGTCTGTTGGAGCAGAAAGGAGGAAACCATGAAAATGAACAAAATCTGGCTACCAGTAATAAAAAAAACTCTAAAATTAGAACAGCACAACAACAGAGAGGAAACAAACAAGGACATCTAATCACCTCTCAACAAAAGATTGCCCCAGGCACTGCCAGGCCATCAAATGCTAATCAAGGTGGTCAGTTGAAACATTCACACCTAGCTCCAGCAGACAAGAGTCCTTTGTCTCACAGACCTTGCTACCTCTGAGGATGCTTGCCATAGATGCAGGCGAAACGACAGGAGAGAATGCCTCTAGAACATGGCCCTATAGCCCGAAAAAACCTACAACAACCCAGTGATTCCGGCCATGAAAGCCTTCGACAATACAGTTATAAACATTCATTTAAAAGTTCTGCCAGTTCAGAATCAAAAGTCCAAGGTCAGTCCATTGCCGGTCTCATAAAATCACTTTATTCCTAATTGCTACATCTAATAATAGACCTACAAGCCACTCTAAACACCTTCACAGAAGCATACGAGAAGCTCGGCCTGTCATTGAACATCGAGAAAACCAGAGTGCTGTTCCAGCAGTCACCAGCCAACCCCTTTCCAACGCCAGAGATACAGTTTAAGGGGGTAACATTACAAAATGTGGACCATTTCCGCTACCTTGGCAGCCACCTCTCCACCAAAGTCAACATCGACACCGAAATACAACACCGCCTGAGCTCTGCAAGCGCAGCATTTTTCCAAATGAAGCAGAGAGTGTTTGAGGACCGGGACATCCATAGGGATACCAAGGTGCTTGTCTGTAAAGCTATTGTCCTCCCAACCCTGCTATATGCCTGCGAAACGTGGACTGTCTACAGATGTCACATACAACTTCTGGACCAATTGCATCACTGCTGCCTCCGGAAAATCCTGCAAATCTCTTGAGAAGACAGGCGGGGAAATGTGTTTAACCCTCCTTATCACACAGCTCTTCACTCAATTCCTTATCTGCTGTTGCTACTTCTGACTCCCCTGAATGCCCTTGAGGCCCTGCACTTTCTGAGCCAGTTTTCTCACAGAGAGAACCATCATTTTCCAGACTTGAGAGCCCATCGCTTTGTGCCACAGGAAAGCTCACAATCCTCTCTAAATCATCAGTTAAGCCATCAGCCTCTGGTGACTGATTTACAACAGTAGTTGATTAATGTATTGTCGAAGGCTTTCATGGCCGGAATCACTCAGTTCTTGTGGGTTTTTTCGGGCTATATGGCCATGTTCTAGAGGCATTTCTCCTGACGTTTCGCCTGCATCTATGGCAAGCTTCCTCAGAGGTCAGACCTCTGAGGAAGCTTGCCATAGATGCAGGCGAAACGTCAGGAGAAATGCCTCTAGAACATGGCCATATAGCCCAAAAAAACCCACAAGAACTGAGTAGTTGATTATTTGAAAATACAAACAGTATTGGGTTGCATCTACATTGTAGAATTAATGCAGTTTGAAACTACTTTAACTGCAATGGTTCAATGCTATGCAATCCTAAGAGTTGGTGCTTGGTGATTCTTGGGCAAAGAAGGCTAAAGACCTTGTGAAACTACCGCTCCCAGGAAGCCATGGTGGTTAAAGCATTGCCGAACTGAATTAATTCCACTGTGTAGATGCACCCTAGTCGTTTCCATATTTGCGCCTTGCCCACAGATGTTTTCCCACCAGACTCACCTTAAAATAGGAGAAGGCCAAATGGTCCAAAGCGTCTTCAAGGCTTCCCTCGTCTTCTGTGTTCCAGTTTCCGTAGGAGACACGGAAAAGGCTGGCGGCTTCCTCCATCCACAAAATGGAATGGTAATAATCTTCCATGTCATACGCAACCTGGAAGAAAGCGGAGGAGACTACTAGGGGTCCATCTACATTGTAGAATTAATGCAGTTTGACACCACATTAACCGCAAGGAATCAGTGTTCTAGAATGCAAGGATTTGCAATTAGGTGAGGCATCAGAATTCTTTAACAGAGAAGGATTAATAAAGACCTTGGAGAACAATAACTGCCACGACTCCATAGCAGTTAAAGTGGGGCCAAAGTGCATTAATTTTACAGTGTGGGTGTTGTAGTTCAGCGTGTTGCTCGAGTTGCTACTCCTAGTAGCAGGGAAAACGGGTCTACTTTAGAGTCAGAGGGAGAACAGCAACGTCAGCACATTAGAGAAATCATTATGGCCCCAAGCGATACTGACACGTTCCCAGGTTTCTCCGATTGGGAGATGCGGGATGCAGAAGGGAGCAGAGGTGTAAAGAGGGCTGCTCGGGAGCCAGAGTCTGAAGGGGAATTACAAAGGAAGTGTATTCGGGAAATATTGTTGCGATCCAGAGCAGGGAACGAGGCCCTAACATAACTATCCACCACACTTGACTGTGAAAAACAATCCTTTTTTTATTGAAGAAAAATAATTACAAAATAAAGGAAAAATGCAAGTCAAAAGCCACAGCAAAATCAGCAAACATGAATTTAAATGGACAAAACAAAACCCAAAGCCACAATGTAAAATACTGGAACCTGTTAGCAATCCACTAACTGTACTTGATATCCTAGAAATCTTTCAAACCATGGCCAGGGAAACCGGGAGAACTGCCAAGGTCTTCATTAATCTGAAACGATGCCTGAACTGAGAAAGTCAGCCCGGCGGAAGGCAATTAAAGCCAAAGAATTGGTTCCGTGAACCGCCCCTCTGCTTTGAAGCCAATGTTTGTAATTCTTTAATTCGGGAAGACCTTCGCAAGCTGAGTGATTTACTTCTGTCTTGCCAAATCTGGCCCCTTCTGTTGTCATTAAAGTTACCAGGTGCAGAAGGGAGGGAAAGGTCAAGGCTTCCCTCTGAAACATTCTCATGAACACTGGTACTTTCATTTTCCAAATCTACAGAAGTTCCTTCCTCACTAATTTCAGGAACATTGGCATTTTCCAAACCTACAGCAGTTTCTTCCTCACTAATTTCAGGAGCATTGGCATAAAGAGGTACATTTTCATTAGCATCAGTAAATATATTTTCATTAGCATCAGGAGGAACAAACAGAGAATCAGGTTCAAGTTCAAACTCAGGCTGAACCCCAACAGGAAGCATATTCGGGAAATACTTTGTGCACCAACATAGGATGAAGATTTCTTTGGGTTTGAAAGGAGTTCTGGGACTGGGAGTGAAATGGAAGATGATGAGGAGTTAAATTGGACCCGTGTGCAAAACATAAGGGATATCTGTAACCAGCCCACCTCGAGTGAGGAATTTGAGGGGTTCACTGGAGATTGGCAGCCAGGGGACTCTTGTTAGGATCTGTATCCTGATAATCGTTGGCAGAGGTGGAGGGATGGGCATTCAGCTGCAGGTTTGGGAGCAGCTGGGAGTGATGACGAGAGGGTGGGGAGCTCATCAAGCTCTGAAGAAGAATTGTAAGATAAAAGGGGGTTCAGTTTGACCTGTAAGTCGCAGGAGGCAAAGTATCTTCATGGGACATAATTCTTTGAACCTGCCAACTTTCCACCTTGGGTCCTGGGCTATAGCTTCGTGTGTTCCTGTGCTCCTGTTTCCTGGGTGACTTCAACGTTCCAGCTTTGCTTCTCTACAGAATTGACTACGGACTGGTTTGACTTCGCTTTTGGACTTCTTGACTTTGTTTGCTAATATATTTGTGACTTTAACAACTTTAAGTTTTGAAACAACGTTTTTTCAGCTTTAAAGACTGTGTTCTTGCTAGATTTTGATTTTTAAGCAATTCGCTTCATCTTTAGTTTAATCCGGATTAAGAGGCAGCGCTATAATCCGGATTATATTTTTGCTTCGCCTATTGACTTGTTTTTGGTGCCAAATTGCTCCAGCAGACCTAAGCACTGTAGTTAAGTGCTTTATAGGTCCTTTTGTTTGCAATAAAGCTGTGTTTGAACCTTTAGTCTGTGTCTGGCGTGTTTTAAGGCTTCTGGGTTCTGACAGTGGGTGCATCCTTACCTTGCCAATCTGGAAGCAGTCGTCAGCCGACAAAGGGAAGTCCTGTCCAGGGCTGTATATATCGGCAAGGGGCACGTTGCTGTTTCTCCGGAACCTTCCTTTGGCCAAGTCTTTGACACTCAAAGAGTAGACATCCTGCAAGCGCATCACGGCTCGCGCTGCACCTTCCAGGTCCTCGAAGGCAGGGAGGTCCTCCTCCAGTCTCCGGTAGTCATTCTTGAGTGCTAGAAAGGCATCCAGAGTGGGTTAACATAGAATCCTAGAGTTGGAAGGGATCCCCAAAGTCCATCCAGACCAACCCCCTTGGCTGTAAAGGAAGACACAATCTAAGCATCCCTGACAGATGGCTTAGAAGTCTCCAGAGGAGGTTCCATTAGAGATGGTTGAATCATAGAATAATAGAGTTGGAAGACACCACATGGTCCATCTAGTCCAACCCCCTGCTATGTCACAAGAAATTCAATATGCAGATTTGAAAAATTTGAATTTAATATATGTGTGGGAATGAATGGAAGAAATAAAGGATGTATGCATGTATGGATGGAGTTAATGATTTTGGAAACACCAGTAAAATATTAAAGCCTACAATGACTAACTACCTGCTTCCTGGACTGTAATTAAAAGTTGCTAATAAGAACTGAAAAGTAAACTTTGACAAGGACGGGACAGTGATAAGATAAATGTTTACAATGGAATCATAGAATCATAGAATCATAGAATCAAAGAGTTGGAAGAGACCTCATGGGCCATCCAGTCCAACCCCCTGCCAAGAAGCAGGAATATTGCATTCAAATCACCCCTGACAGATGGCCATCCAGCCTCTGTTAAAAGCTTCCAAAGAAGGAGCCTCCACCACACTCCGGGGCAGAGAGTTCCACTGCTGAACGGCTCTCACAGTCAGGAAGTTCTTCCTAATGTTCAGATGGAATCTCCTCTCTTGTAGTTTGAAGCCATTGTTCCGCGTCCTAGTCTCCAAGGAAGCAGAAAACAAGCTTGCTCCCTCTTCCCTGTGGCTTCCTCTCACATATTTATACATGGCTATCATATCTCCTCTCAGCCTTCTCTTCTTCAGGCTAAACATGCCCAGTTCCTAAGCCGCTCCTCATAGGGCTTGTTCTCCAGACCTTGATCATTTTAGTCGCCCTCCTCTGGACACATTCCAGCTTGTCAATATCTCTCTTGAATTGTGGTGCCCAGAATTGGACACAATATTCCAGATGTGCTCTAACCAAAGCAGAATAGAGAGGTAGCATTACTTCCTTAGATCTAGACACTATGCTCCTATTGATGCAGGCCAAAATCCAATGTTAAGAAAGAAGTCAACATAAGATCAACACCAAACAAGAAGATCAACATCTGGTCAGGAAACTGAGATGGAGCCAGGATGGAAGACGTCTATCATTAATTTACATCTTTGGGGCGACATTAGCAGAATATTCCTATAAAAGACTCAATCTAATAATGCTCAAAGTGTGGCAGACCTGAGGAGTCTGGTTCACCCGCCATGCTCTGCTCCATTGTCTGGCCTAAGAGGTGCTTCTCCAAGGAGGGAGAAAAGGATATAATAATATTTGAATGCCTGAAGATGAATGTGTGTACATTTGGTGTGAATGCTGAGTGAAAATGTAATTCCCCTTTGTCTGTTTGTTAGTCCAATGCAACTGTAAGTTGTTGTACATCCAATATAGTTGCATAGAATCTGTATGTCTGTATGTCTAAATGTTTTTCTGTAATCTGATCTACCCTCTCACACTGGAAATTGCAATTAAAAGAACCTATGCTTTAAAATTATTGAAAAGTCATTCATGACAGCTGTACAGGGAAAACACCGTCAAAGCACCCCTGACAGATGGCCATCCAGCCTCTGCTTAAAAACTTCCAAGGAAGGAGCCTCCACCAGACTTCAATGCAGAGAGTTCCACTGCTGAACAGCTGTTCTTACAGTCAAGAAGTTCTTCCTAATGTTCAGTTGGAATCTCCTTTCCGTTTGTTTGAATCCATGAGTCATAGTTTCCAGGGCAGCAAAAAACAGTTGAAGGAGCTGGGGATGTTTACCTTGGAACATAGAAGGCTAATAAGGTACAAAGGATTCTAAGATTTCCCTCCTGGTGATCTTCCTCCAGAGGAATAACCAGTCCTGAACCTACTGACCTTCCAAATGGAGGTGCGATCTGATTCAAGCAAGGCAGAAAGCAAGGCAGAAGAAGGTTGGGTTGAATGGTCCTTGGGATCTCTTCCAACTCTTTGCCTCTATGATTCAGTGACCCAGAGATAATTCCATTGCAGTGGCTAACCCTCCTCAGGATTTAGCCTGAGCTTTAAAGGAACTATCCAAGGTGCTGAACCTACTTTAGTGGGCAAATTTCAGCACCTTGAAAAGCTCAATTCCAGCCCAAATGCCATGAAACCCATCAACCTTGTATGAATTCCAACTTTCCTCTAGTGCTCATTGGTAATTCAAAGGGAATTCTTGAACCCATGACCATTTTGGGCTTCCTGAGAACATTGGACGGGGGAAAAGACTGTTGAACACATGCGGGTTGAATGAAAAGTAATGCCTCCACCTTCGTAACTCCTCAACAGATGGCAGTACTGGTATGTGGCAGGTACTAGCTTGTTCAGTAGACTCTTCTCTACAGTTCAGCTTTGACGGGAAGCCTTAGCATTGAACAGTTGTGTTGTTAAAGTGCGAAGTATGGAACCCTTTGAGTCGCCTGAGGGCTGAGAAAAGTGGTATATAAATAAAGTAAATAAATAAACCCTGTGCAGACGGTCGGTCAATGCGACTTAAGCAACGTGCAGTCATTGAATTCTTGACAGCAGAAGGTGTCACCCCAAAGGAGATTCATCAGAGAATGCAAGCTGTTTATGGTCATTATGTTAATGTGAGTACTGTGCTACGTTGGGCGAGTAAGTTTAAAGATGTTGAGGTGGTAACATTGACTTGCATGACAAACAAAGAGTTGGATGTCCTGTGACAGCAACCTCCGAGTTTCACAAGCAAAAGGTTGACAGATTATTGTCGAAGGCTTTCATGGCTGGAATCACTAGGTTCTTGTGGGTTTTTTCGGGCGATATGGCCATGTTCTAGAGGCATTTTCTCCTGACGTTTTGCCTGCATCTATGGCAAGCATCCTCAGAGGTAGTGAGGTCTGTTGGAGTTAGGAAAATGGGTTTATATATCTGTGGAATGACTGGGGTGGGGCAAAGAGCTCTTCTCTGCTGGAGCTAGGTGTGAATGTTTTAATTGACCACCTTCATTAGCATTGAAAGGCCTGGCTGAGCCTGGGGGAATCTTTGGTTGAGAGGTGTTAAGATGTGCCTGGTTGTTTCCTCTCTGCTGTTTTGCTGTTGTAATTTTAGAGTTTTTTTAATACTGGTAGCCATACCAAAATCTAACCCCAACAGACCTCACTACCTCTGAGGATGCTTGCCATAGATGCAGGTGAAACGTCAGGAGAAAATGCCTCTAGAACATGGCCATATTGCCCTAAAAAACCCACAAGAACCTGGTTGACAGATTGATTCAGGATGATAGAGAGAAATTTCAAGCATAATCAGCATTTCACAAGAATGTGTAGTTCACATTATTGCTTTGCTTGGCTATCGGAAGATCTGTGCACAACGGGTACCCAAAACAGAGTGTCGACTTCTTTCGTGACGGCTTCAGAAAACTTTTTCATCGTTGGTAGAAATGTATCCAATTATCTGGTGATTATGTGGAAAAGTGAATAGTGGTAGTTAAAGAGTACATTCTAAGGATTATTTCTGCATTTGATTCATTAAAATATTCCCACCCAAACCCAAGTAACGAAGGTGGAGGCATTACTTTTCATTCAACCCTCGTAGTAGTCTTTGGCTCATTCTAATCTCCTTCCAGGACATTGTAGTTGTGAAGCAATTAAAAAAAAACCCCTATGGACTACAAAGCCCATGATGTTGCTTGTCCCATACCTTGGCTGTTCTCGCTCGCCTCCACGCTGTAGACCACGTTCAGCCAATCCGACTGCAACCTCTTGATCAGGGCATACGCCAGCAAAGGGTTGGCCACCGTCTTGCCCGCCCCTTGGTGCAAGGCTTGGATCTTCTCATAGAATCTGGGAAATGGAAACAATTGTATGATAAGTACATAGAATTGTGCATTTGTTTTCTTGGTTAAACAGTTTAACTTCAGAGGGAGATATAGAGGCGATGGTTGCACCCACCAGATAGGCCGGAATTTGACATCAGATCTCCAAAGTCTAGCACTAAATCTCCCCATTATAATTGCCCTTGGCTATAAGTTCCAAGTGTAAATGGAAGACCACATACAACATACAGGGTATATCTATACTATAGAATAGGTATGGTCAAACTTTGGTCAAACTTGGGTCTTCCAGGTGTTTTGAACTTCAACTCCCACACTTCCTAACATCCTTAGTACCTTTCCTTTTCTCCCTCTGATGCTTAAGCGATGAGGCCTGAGGCTGTTAGGAATTGAAATCCAAAACATCTGGAGGGTTGAAGTTTGCCCATGACTGCTATAGAATTAATGCAGTTCAACACCACTGCCAGAAGGGACAGAGAGTTTCATCTATGCTGATGATCATGCCATCACCGCTCAAGCAGGGAGCTTTGAGATGGTTGAACAGAAGCTCTCCAAAGCTCTTGGGGCTCTTACTGCCCATTACAGGGAAAACCAGCTGATCCCTAATTCATCTAAAACACAGGCATGTGGTATTGAGAACAACAACCTTCATGAACCTGTTACTTCTACTGAATTGGACATGGCTCTCAATAAATGTAAAAATGGCAAAGCAGCTGGCCTGGATGATCTACAGATGGAACAAATCAAGAACTTTGGCCCAAAAGCAAAGTGCTGGCTACTGGAGCTGATGAACAACTGCACTGCATCCTGTCAGATCCCCAAAATCTGGAGGAAAGCAAGAGCAATTGCCATCTTGAAACCAAGCAAAGACCGTAATGACCCAAAAAGCTACAGACCAATCTCCCTGCTGTGCCACCTCTACAAAGTCCCGGAGAGACTTATTCTGCATAGAATTATGGAAAAAATAGACCCCTGTCTGATCCCACAGCAAGCTGGCTTCAGGAAAGGCAAAAGCTGCACATCGCAAGTGCTGAACCTGACTCAGCACATAGAAGATGGCTTTGAAAGGCAGCTGAGCATAGGAGCTGTCTTCATAGACCTGTCAGCAGCTTATGATACTGTGAACCACCGCCTCCTCCTGAGAAAAATGTATAACATCACAAAGGACTACCTGCCTCATAGGAAACCTCACCTGCCTCATAGGAAACCTGCTACAAAACAGGAGCTTCTTTGTTGAGTTCCAGGGCCAGGGAAGCAGATGGCGGAAACAGAAGAACGGCCTGCCTCAGGGGAGCATGCTTGCTCCATCCATGTTCAACATCTACACAAATGACCAGCCACTGCCAGAAGGGACGGAGAGCTTCATCTATGCTGATGATCGTGCCATCACCGTTCAAGCAGGGAGCTTTGAGATGGTAGAACAGAAGCTCTCCGAAGCTCTAGGTGCTCTTACTGCCCATTATGGAGAAAACCAGCTGATCCCTAACCCATCTAAAACGCAGACATGTGTTTTTCACCTTAACAACAGACAAGCATCCCGAGCTCTGAGGATTACCTGGGAAGGAATCCCACGGGAGCATTGCAGCACACCCAAATACCTGGGAGTCACTCTGGACCGTGCTCTGACCTACAAGAAGCACTGCCTGAATATCAAACAAAAAGTGGGCGCTAGAAACAATATCAAACGAAAGCTGACTGGCACAACCTGGGGATCACAACCAGACACAGTGAAGACATCTGCCCTTGCGCTGTGCTACTCTGCTGCTGAGTACGCATGCCCAGTGTGGAACACATCTCACCACACTAAAACAGTAGATGTGGCTCTTAATGAGAAATGCCGCATTATCATGAGGTGTCTGTGCCCTACACCACTGGAGAAATTACACTGCTTAGCCGGTATTGCACCACCTGACATCCACCGGGAAGTAGCAGCCAATAGTGAAAGGAACAAGGCCGTGACATCTTCAACTCATCCCTTGTTTGGGTATCAGCCAGCACGTCAACGACTTAAATCAAGAAATAATTTTCTAAGATCTACTGAAATACTCCAGCAAGCGAGAGTCCAAAAGTGGCAGGCTCAAACCCAGAACCTCAATCAATGGCTGAGACCAAATGAGAGACTCCCCCTTGAGCACACAGAAAACTGGGTGACTTGGAAGGCGCTGAACAGACTGTGCTCTGGCACCATGAGATGCAGAGCCAACCTTAAGAAATGGGGCCACAAAGTGGAATCCACGACATGCGAGTGTGGAGAAGAGCAAACCACTGACCACCTGCTGCAATGCAACCTGAGCCCTGCCACATGCACAATGGAGGACCTCCTTGCGGCAACACCAGAGGCACTCCAATTGGCCAGATACTGGTCAAAGGACTTTTAATCAACTACCAGGCTTGCAAACTTTGTGTTTTGTTTGTTTAAAAAATGCAATACGACTGTTTGGTTTGCTCCTGACTCGATAAATAAATAACACCACTTTACCTGTTGCACATCAATACTTTGGGATCCTGCTAGTTCTAGCTTTCCAACGTCTTTCGTTTCCTCTGCTAAAGTTTTCCAAACTTACAGCTCACAGGATTCCATTGCATTGAACCCTAGCAGTTAAGGTGGTCTCAAGTTGCACTAAATCCTCCAGTGTACACGCAAATGATTTTCCGCATCCAAAAGCCCATTTCTATGTGGCCACATGTAATCAGGCGGGTGCGCGCTTGTTTCGACTGTGGTGTATCGCCCCTTTCTTTCAAAACCAACTTGTGGTTTGCATTATATATGACGAAGGGAATAAATCCATCTCCAAAAGGGCAGGGGAATGGTTTGCCAGAGTCCTGTTTCGAATTGCGGAGTTTCCTGGCCAATTTCGCAATCCAAAAAAAACAGTGTGACAAAGCCCTCATTAGCATAAATTTTATTTATTTATGTATTCCCTATATTTCTATCCCGCCTTTCTCCCCGCAAGCGGGACTCAGCGCAGCCTCACATGAGCATCACAGGATGCTAACGGCATAAATACCATAAAAATTACAATTCACAACAAAATCATTTTGAAACGTTGTACAACATCATCATTAAAAATTAACAATAAATTAATAGATTAACGTGCCAGTAAAACCAAGCTGAGCCGGGAGAATCCATGTCGCAAATCCAAATTTCCTTTTCCTAGTGGTGCTAGCCTCTAATCGAACACCTGACTGCAGAGCCAGGTCTTCAGTTGTCTTCTAAAGGACAGAAGAACAAGCCCTATGAGGAGCGGCTTAAGGAGCTGGGCATGTTTAGCCTGAAGAAGAGAAGTCTGAGAGGAGATATGATAGCCATGTATAAATATGTGAGAGGAAGCCACAGGGAGGAGGAAGCAAGCTTGTTTTCTGCTTCCCTGGAGACTAGGACGCAATGGAACAATGGCTTCAAACTACAAGAGAGGAGATTCCATCTGAACATGAGGAAGAACTTCCTGACTGTGAGAGCCGTTCAGCAGTGGAACTCTCTGCCCTGGAGTGTGGTGGAGGTGTGGTGGCCATCTGTCAGGGGTGATTTGAATGCAATATTCCTGCTTCTTGGCAGAATGGGGTTGGACTGGATGGCCCATGAGGTCTCTTCCAACTCTATGATTCTATGATTCTAGGAGGGAGGTGGCCAACCTGATGTCCTTAGGAAGAGAGTTCCACAGACAGGGGGCCACTGCCGAGAAGTCCCTGTCTCTCATTGAATCATAGAATCAATCATAGAATCAAAGAGTTGGAAGAGACCTCATGGGCCATCCAGTCCAACCCCATTCTGCCAAGAAGCAGGAATGTTGCATTCAAATCACCCTGACAGATGGCCATCCAGCCTCTGTTTAAAAGCTTCCAAAGAAGGAGCCTCCACCACACTCCGGGGCAGAGAGTTCCACTGCTGAATGGCTCTCACAGTCAGGAAGTTCTTCCTCATGTTCAGATGGAATCTCCTGTCTTGTAGTTTGAAGCCATTGTTCCTTGTCCTAATCTCCATGGAAGCAGTAAATGAGCTTGCTCCCTCCTCCTCCCTGTGGCTTCCAGTTCTGGCCCAGTGGCTTCCAGTTCGTCCCCACCAACCGCGTTTGTGAGAGTGGTGGGATCGAGAGAAGGGCCTCTCCTGATGATCTTAAGCTTCGTGATGGTTCATAGCAGGAAATACGTTCGGACAGGTAATCTGGGCCAGAACCGTTCAGGACTTTAAAAGTTAAAACCAGCACTTTGAATTGTGCCCAGAAGCTAATCGGCAGCCAGTGGAGTTGGTGCAACAGAGGAGTGGTACGATTCCCTGTACGAAGCTCCAGTTAACAACCTGGCCATCGATTGCTGGACTAATTGGAGCTTCTGAGAAGTTTTCAAAGGCAGCCCCACATAGAGAGCGTTGCAGTAGTCTATTCGGGATGTAACCAGAGCATGGACCACCGTGGCGAAGTCAGACTTGTTGCTGACTGGTTGGGCTATGGCCAGTGTGATGGCTGAGCCTGGGACCTTTGGATACGGTTACATTTTTCAAATTTGAACTATGCAGGTGCTCAGCAGAGAGAAGCACAGAGAGACAGAGTTTGGAGTGGGCTCTTCCTTCATGAGCTGCTGAAGGAGATTATCCACATGGACAAAGAAAGACATTATGTGACATTATGTGAGTTAGTGAGACTGATCATGTGATGGGGTTGTTGTAGGTTTTTCGGTCTTCACTGAGAACTGGGAAGCCCTGGCCCTTGAGCACTCCAGCTGGAGATCAGCTGTGACCAGCAGTGCTGTAGAATCTGAAGAGGCACAATGGAGGGTGAAAGAGAGAAACATGCCAAGAGGAAGGTGTGTCAAGCCAACCCCGACCAGGACCACCCTCTGTCTGGAAACCAATGCACTCAACTGCGGGAGAACATGCAGATCAAGAATAAGGCCAGGACCACCTCCAGGTCCTTGAGTGCTCCAGCTGGAGGTCAGCTGTGACCAGCAGTGCTGTAGAATTTGAAGAGGCACGAGTGGAGGGTGAAAGAGAGAAATGTGCCAAGAGGAAGGTGCGTCAACCCAACCCTGATCAGGATCACCTTCCACCTGGAAACTGATGTCTTCGCTGCAGGAGAACATGCAGGTCAAGAATAGGGCTCCACAGTCACCTGCGTACCCACCGCCAGGACATTGATCTTGGAGAACAATCCTATTCGGACAACGAGGGATCGCCTAAGGAAGTAAGTAAGACCGGGACAACCTTCTGCCTGGAAACCAATGCCCTCAACTGGGAGAAGATGCAGGTCAAGAATAGTAGAGCTCCACAGTCACCTACGGACCCACCGCCAGGACACCAATCTTGGAGGGCAATCCTACTCGGACAATGAGGGATCGCCTAAGGAAGTAAGTAAGACCAGGACAACCTTCTGTCTGGAAACCAATGTCCTCAACTGTGGGAGAACATGCAGGTCAAGATTAGGGATCCACAGCAACCTACAGACCCACCACCAGGACCCCAATCTTGGAGGACAATCCTACTTGGACAACAAGGGATCGCCTAAGTAAGTAAGACCGGGAACACCTTCTGTCTGAAACCAATGTCCTCAACTGTGGGAGAAGATGCAGGTCAAGACTAGGGCCCCACAGTCACCTGCGCACCCACCACCAGGACACCGATCTTGGAGGACAATCCCACTCGGACAACGAGGGATTGCCTTAGTAAGTAAGTAAGACCGGGACAACCTTCTGCCTGGAAACCAATGCCCTCAACTGGGAGAAGATGCAGGTCAAGAATAGTAGAGCTCCACAGTCACCTACGGACCCACCGCCAGGACACCAATCTTGGAGGGCAATCCTACTTGGACAATGAGGGATCGCCTAAGGAAGTAAGTAAGACCAGGACAACCTTCTGTCTGGAAACCAATGCCCTCAACTGTGGGAGAAGATGCAGGTCAAGAATAGGGATCCACAGCCACCTACGGGCCAACCACCAGGACACTGAACTTGGAGGACACTCCTACCTGGACAACGAGGGATCACCTAAGGAAGTAAGACTGGGACAACCTTCTGTCTGGAAACCAATGCCCTCAACTGTGGGAGAAGATGCAGGTCAAGAATAGGGATCCACAGCCACCTACGGACCCACCACCAGGACACTGAACTTGGAGGACACTCCTACCTGGACAACGAGGGATCACCTAAGGAAGTAAGACCGGGACAACCTTCTGTCTGGAAACCAATGCCCTCAACTGTGGGAGAAGATGCAGGTCAAGAGTAGGGCTCCACAGCCACCTACGGACCCATCACCAGGACACCGATCTTGAAGGACAATCCCACTTGGACGACGAGGGATCACCTAAGAAAGTAAGCTCAGCTTTACCTGCGGAGGTCTTGGAGCCGCTTGGCCTCTTGATCCAGGTAAGAGTCCAAACTCCGAAGCAGTTGTCCTTCGGTCTCCATCGCCTGATGGATGCTCAGCATGGACGTATAGGTTTCTGCGTGCGCCCTTGGCAAGACACTCAGGAGGAAAGCCACACCAAGCCACCACATCTTTCCTGATCGATAAAGCTTTCTCCCTTCGTCTTTGTCCTTCGAAAGGAATGGTTGGATGTCTCTCCCGGTGGAAGCTCACCCTCGGCTTCTCCTGTGGAGTCTGGCCCACAAAGGGAAGATGCAGCCGACCCTTTCGCCTCGGAAAGAGGAATGAGACGAGATGGGAAACAGATGGGGAAAGGGACTTTTGGAGCGGAGATTTCCCCCCCTTCTCTGCACTCACTAGACATTGCTAAACTCTGGCAGGCGTCTTGGCTCAATGCTTTTCCAACTTCTCCTGGAAATGTGATTTATGAGACAGGTTCTGTGGATGGGAAGGGAGGGCAAGCACAGTGGGCCAGACTGTAACTCCCAGGGGCTTTCAKTCAATTGCATCACGTTGCACATTTTTTGTTCCTGGGTTATAAATGTCATTTCCTAATTGGTTCTATATCATTGTCATTGTGACCAAAAGCAATGACAGAGCAGGACCAAACTTGGCACACAGAACCCCCATGACCCACTTTATGTTCTGGTTCAGTTTGGGGGACAACGGTCCATGAAGGATGGGCTCTGTAGTAGCTTCACTCAATGCCAGAGAACATTGCAACCCACACCTATGACTGAACCAGACCAGACTTGACACACATGACCCACTCTAGGTCCAGGTGACTGTGGAGCCCCCCATGACCCACTCTAGGTCCTGGTGCAGTTTGTGGGATGATGGAACATGGACGATGTGACTTGCAGTACATCCAATCAATTCCTCAGACCACTGCAACCCACACCAGTGACTGGTCAAGACCAAACTTGGCACACAGAGCCCCCATGACACATTCTACAACCTGGTGAGGTTTGGGGGCCAAAGGACAATGGATGATGGGATTTGCAGTACCTTCACTCATTTCTTGAGACCACTGTGACCCACAACAAAGACTGATCAAGATCAAACTTGGCTTACAGAGCCCCCATGACCCACTCTATATCCTGGTGTGGTTTGGAGGCCAAAGGACAATGGATGATGGGATTTGCAGTACCTTCACTCATTTCTTGAGAACACTGTGACCCACAACAAAGACTGATCAAGATCAAACTTGGCTTACAGAGCCCCAATGACCCACTCTAGGTCCTGGTGTAGTTTGTGGGATGATGGAACATGGACGATAGGCCTTGCAGTACACCCAATCAATTCCTGAGACCACTGCAACCCACATCAATGACTGATCAAGACCAAACTTGGCACACAGAGCCCCCATGACCCACTCTACATCCTGGTGCCGTTTGAGGGAGAATGTAAGCAGGTGATGGGATTTGCAGTACCTTGATCCATTTCCAGGCACCAACCAATGACAGGTCTGGACAAACTTGGCACACAGACCTAACATGACCAACCGTGAATACTGGTGGATTTTGCCGCGACTCCTTAATAGAGTTCCTAATATTGTGTTGACCCCCAACCAAGAAATTATGTTTGTTGCTACTTCATAACTGTAATTTGGCTACTGTTATGAATCACAATGTAAACATCTGATCTGCAGGATGGGTTTTCATTCACTGGGCCAAATTTGGCACAAATACCCGATACACCCACATTTGAATACTGCTGGGGTTGGAGGGCGATTGATTTTGTCATTTGGGAGTTGTAGTTGCTGGATTTGTTGTTCACCTTCAATCAAAGAGCTTTCTGAACTCCACCAGTGATGCAATTGAACCAAACTTGGGACACAAAACTCCCATGACCAACATAAAGTACTGGAAGAGTTTGGTGGGCATTGGCCTTGAGTTTTGGAGTTGTAGTTCACCTACATCCAAAAATAAACAATACCTGGGTTGTTGTAGGTTTTTTCGGGCTATATGACCATGTTCTAGAGGCATTCCCTCCTGACGTTTCGCCTGCATCTATGGCAAGCATCCTCAGAGGCTGTGAGGTCTGTGACAAAACACCCAAAGGGCCCAAGTTTGCCCATGCTTGATCTACACAGTAGAATGAATACACTTTAACTGCCTTGGCTCAATGCTGGGATTTGTAGTTTGCCGAGGCAGGAAAAACCCCTAAAGACCTTGCAAAACTACAACTTCAATAACTCTGTAGCATGGAGCCATGACCGTTCAAGTGGCGTCAACAGGTATTCATATTACAATGTAGATGCATGTATAGTCAGTCCTTCACATGGCCTAGATTCGTGCCTAGCAACAACAATAACAACAATCAGGCTGTCGGCTGTTGCAAATTAACTGCTTTGTCTCAATGCTGTGGCAACATGGGAGTTGTAGTTTTACTATATCTTTGGCCTTTTTTGCCTCAAAAAACTCAGGATCCCATAGCATTGATCCAAGGCAGTAAAAGTGGTCTCAAACTGGATTAATTCTACAGTGTAGATGCAGCACATCCCAACACCTGCAGGCAGCTGATGGCATTGTTCCACAGCGCTGTGCTGCATGCATGCTCTCAGTGTTCTTGGGAAGTAAATACAGGAGACAGATTTGATTGGGAGCATGAAAGGGTTGCACATTAGTTTCTTTCTATATGTGAATGAAAACCTTTGGCTTTGCAGACAAGGCTCCTTGGGGTCCAAAGAGTTGTGGCTCGGGGGCCACCTGGTGGGCAGTCCCCGCATCACAGCCACAGAATCAGAATTTGGAAGGGACCCCAAAGGACATCTAGCCCAACCCCATTCAACAATGCAGGAAATGCACAATCAAAGCACCCGTGACATAACCATCCAGTTTCATCCCAGTCTATAAAGCAGGAATTGTGGGAGTTGAAGTCCAAAACACTTGGAGGGCCCAAGCTTGCCCAGGCTGAGACAGAGAAATATGGTGCTTAGCTTAGGCGATCCCTCATTGGACGAGTAAGATGGTCTTCCATTATGGGTTTCCTTGTGGGTCCGCATGTGGTTGCGGAACCCTTTTCTTGACCCGCATCTTCTCCCACAGTGAAGGCATTGGTTTCCAGGTGGAAGGCGGTCCCGGTCGGGGTTGGCTTGACGCACCTTCCTCCTGGCATGTTTCTCTCTTTCACCCTCCACTCGTGCCTCCTCGAATTCTGCAGCACTGTTGGTCACAGCTGACCTCCAGCAGGAGCGCTCAAGGGCCAGGGCTTTCCAGTTCTCAGTGTCTATGCCAGAGTTTTTAAAGTTGGCTTTGAGGCCATCCTTAAATCTCTTTTCCTGTCCTCCAACATTCCGTTTTCCGCTCCTGAGTTCAGAGTAGAGCAACTGCTTTGGGAGACGGTGGTCAGGCATCCGGACAACGTGGCCGGCCCAGCAGAGTTGATGTTGGAGGACCATCGCTTCAATGCTGGTGGTCTTTGCTTCTTCCAGCACACTTCCAGCACACTGTCCGCTTGTCTTCCCAGGAGATTTGCAGGATTTTCTGGAGGCAGCGCTGATGGAATCGTTCCAGGAGTTGCATGTGACGTCTGTAGACAGTCCACGTCTCACAGGCCGCTAAGGTAGGGGCTTGCCTAATCTCACCAGGCAAAGAGTTCCAGAGTTGGGGGGCTACTGCAGAGAAGGCTCTCTCCCTCATCCCCACAAGTCGAGCCTGTGATGGAGGAAGGGGCGAGAGGAGGTCCTCGCCCAAAGATTGGTCCTCGCCCAAAGACCTGAGAACGGGCAGGTTTGTGGGTGGAGATGCGGTCACGAAGGTAGGTGGGTCCCAAACTATTTAGGACTTTATAGGTGATCACCTGCACCTTGAATTGGGACTGGAAAATAAACGGCAGCCTTAAACAGGAGGGTTGACCGCTCCCTGTAATTTGCCCTGGCTGCCGAGCGTTGGACCAGCTGGAGTTTCCAGGCTGTCTTCAAGGGATGCTCCACATAGAGTGCATTGCAATAGTCCAGTCTAGAGGTAACTAAGGTGTGGAGCACCGTGGTCAAGTCAAACTTCACGAGGTATGGTCGCAGCTGGCGCATGAGTCTTAATTGTACAAAGGTCCTCCCTGCCACTGCCGACACCTGAGCATCAAGCTTCAGCGCTGAATCCAGGAGGACCCCCCAAACTACAGACATGTGTCTTCAGGGGGAGTGCAACCCCATCAAGCACAGGTTGCCACCCAATACCTTGATCAGACGAATGACTGATATGGAGGATCTCTATCTTGTCGGGATTAGTCTTCAGCTTGTTTGTCCTCATCCAGATCAACACAGTCCAGTATCTGAGGGGCTTCCTTGGATTCAGGTGGAAACGAGTAGTGGCGTTGGATGTCATCTGCGTAGAGATGGCACCGTACTCCAAAACTCTGGATGACCTCTCCCAGGGGTTTCATGTAGATATTGAATTGATATTGTATCCGGAGGCAAATATTTTCAAACTCTATGTGTGTTTACATGAGGCTAAGCCTGCTGAATAGAGCAAGGTCAATTTCTGGGTAACGATGCTTAGGATTAGGCATCACAATGATGATGGGAATAGCTAATACCTTTTTCCGGGCATGATGTGAGAAGTCGGTGCCAAACTCCGCCTTGGTTTCACAAAGGATAAAGGATGAATGGACAGGCAGATGATGTCCAGAATTGGTCCAGCCTCCATCATGAACAGTTTAGGTCACTGGCTTCTTCTCTTGCTCATCCTACTGGGATCTACTGGTAAGTACCATACAAATCCCTGATGAAAAATATACATATTATGCTTTAGTGTTTATAATATTTAGGTTTTAATTATATACTAGCTTGGGGACCCGACGGTGCCCAGATTATTTGAGATAGGCATTGTTTGTCTGTGCTGCAATGTCATCTGGGTTCAGTGGGTATGGGTGAACTACAACTTCCATATGCAAGTCCCATCGTCCATGGTCCATCCTCCTCCAAATTGCACCAGGATGTAGGGTGGGTCACGGGGGCTCTGTGTGCCAAGTTTGGTCTTGATCAGTCATTGGTGTGGGTCACTTCTCAAGAAGTGAGTGAAGGTACTGCAAGTCCCATCATCCATGGTCCATCGTCCCACAAACCACACCAGGATGTAGAGTGGGTCATGGGGGCTCTGTAAATCAAACTCTGTACATGGCATTCATTGACCTTGCAAAGGCATTCGACACAGTGAATTGCAGCGCTCTCTGGACCATCCTCCAAAAAATCGTGTGCCCTAACAAATTTGTGAACATCCTGAGGCTCCTCCATGATGACAGGATGGCAACAGTTTTGGACAGCAATGGCTCCCAAAGTGACCCATTTAAGGTGGAATCAGGTGTGATAAACAGGGATGTGTTATTCTCCCAACTCTATTCTCCATCTTCATCACTATGATACTTCACCTTGTTGATGGGAAGCTTCCCAGC